CGGTACTCATTGGACAGTCATGGATTTTACAGGGTCAGAACTGACACCCTTCATTGATGTGTCCATAACTTTCAATTCCCTTAGGATCTCCCACTGAAATTATGTAGGTAGATCCTACTCTCAAAGACACACAAAATCACTGAGGTATTCAATAGAAAAATACGTCATTATCTTCTTCATATAACTGCTCCAAAATAACACAGAATACCAATTCTTTAAAGTGTCTTTCTCGGTATTTTGAATATATTTCAATAATTCTTAACCAGGGTATATTACTTGACCACAAAGATTAGTAGCTTTCTTACATCTCGTTCCCAAGCTTAATCTCGACTCAATAAAGGGAAAAGACATCTAATGGCTTCAATTATCAACCTTGCTCTGATATCAATGAAATGACTTTATGATAAAGCACGACGTATTTATTTAAAAAAAATTATTTATCCCTATATCAGCAAGATCACTTACAATATCCAATTATAACCACTCTTAAAATAAATAAAATAAAAAGAAAATCGGTTCTCAATTGCTGCCTCTTCAAATACAATTCTTTATTCAAGAAAGACTTTAATGATTTATGGGAAGAGAAACAAATATTTAAAAAAGTAAAATTGTCAGAGATTATCTCAATCGGGCTTAGTACACCCTACGCCGAGTCTTCTCCTTTCAATGGTACTCGGGATCTATGATCGGTATATTGATTTCCCTACTATGGCAAAAATTCACTCAATGGCTTAATCTTAATCAAGCCTCTTAACTTGATTTTAGAGAGGTGAGAGATAAATATGGAGAGAGAGAGAGAGATCTACTAGCAAGGGGTTCTACCCCTTTGCCACCCATAAATAACAGATGTGATGTGTGCCACTAAACATGGTGCAACTTGGAGAGAGAGAGATAAAATTGAGGCGAAAGCTAAATTTTAGGGTAGGGAGAGATAATTATTAAAAAGAGAAGAGAATACGTATCTCATTTTATGAGGGGAGACCTCTTTTTATAGATTTACTATGCGATAGATTTTGCCTCAATTCATAGGGTCAGATCTCAACCGTCGATCTAAAGAGAGTTATGGGGTGAGAGATTTGAGTCATCCATGTCTTTGATTCACCATAAGATTCAAAGAGATGAGTTAGAGCTTTATCCTCCATTTCCTAAATATATTTCCATCAAATAAAAAAAAACTTATATTTTGATATATCCAATCCCTAATTATTAAATCAACCAATCTTGATTCAAATATTTAGTAAATATCTCAAATATTCAACCTTATCGACAATACCTAAAAAGATCATATTTAAAATTTGTAAATCTTATATTTTATTTAAAACATTGAAAAATTAATTTCTCTTAATTTATAAATTCAAATGATAAAAATAAAATATCATAAGATTCATAAAAATTCAAATAAACATTCTAAAAATCACATAACATAAAATTAATTAATTTTGATGGGAATCGGATCCGTTAGATCTAGGAAATTATCAATACATTAGAGCATTGCACCCTCAACTGCAAATCACAATGCGCCTAGCTTTCTCAAACTGACCCAGCAGTTCCCATGATCCACAAGTCAACCAATAGACTAGGGAATGCAATCCCAGTTTATGGATTTTAGGTTCTCCCCTAGAGATAAAAATCATGATCTTCCAAACCATGATGCAACCATGACTCTAGGGTGCATATGGGTAATTTCTCGCACATGTACATGCTTCACTCTCATTGGTGAATCTCAAAACCGCTATCTATGTACATACTGTGTGATAATATAACGATAAGGTTTTAGTCATGTCTCTAAAGATTATTCATCACACGCAAGGACCACACAGTCCATTGTCTCTCATCTGAACATACTCCGACCTCATCAAAGGATAACTCACTAAATCCTACTCGGTAGATCCCTATACCCAAGTATCTTGAATTTTTTCAAACTTCGGCTGGCTTAGCTTGTTGAGCTTAATCCAAATATCAGCAAATAACATTTGCCTAGTATAGTCCACAAAAAGACCACACTCCCACTGATTTTATATTCCACTACATAAAATGCTCATACAAGCTCTTATAAGGCCACATAAAGCCTATACACTTAGGGATACTTCTCATTCCTCTATACACTTGGGAAACCTTCTTATTTTTGCGAAACGTGTCCACCCTTTAACTCTTGCTTAATAATATAATATAGATAATATAATAATAACAATAACAATAATAGTAACAATAATAATAATATATTATTATTATTATTATAATTTTACATATTTTATACTAATTTGGGACAGGTCCGATCAACCCCAAACTAGGCCTAACTGAACCCGCTAGAGTTCATGCCCGATCCAGAACTAACCTATCGGATCCAAAATTGGACCAGAACTTGATAGAGTTCATGCTGAACCATGAACTAACCTATCTAAACTTTGAGTCTAGATAAAGATAATAATACTAATAATATATTATAGTTTTAGATATTTTATACTAGTTTGGGATAGGTCCGGTCAACTCCAAACTAGGCCCAACTGACCCGATAGAGTTCATATTGAACCCACAACTAACCTATCGGGTCCAAAATTAGATCTCGACCAAGACCTGATTCGGGTCATCTTGGTTGGCCATTCTGAACCGATTGCCAGCCTATGTCAACCATGTGGATATCATGGATATGAAAGAAAAGAAAAATTAACACCAATAATATTATTTTTTAATATTTGAAGAATTTAAAGGTTTACTCGATCTGTATTATTTTTTGAACTTCCAATTTTATAGTAAGGGGTAAAAACTAGAAGTTCTTCAGTGCTCGAATTGCTTTTTGAGAAGGTCTGACGTACACCTTACTCTGATTATTCAAGCAAACCATCGAGAGAGGGAGAGAGTTCCATTAGACTAAACTCTTTGTTTGATTTTTCACATGATAATCTTTTATGGAAAATGTTAATGTTGTATTAAGTGAACGGTATTACAAAATCACATGATAGGGAAATGCTATTTTTTATCGCCACAAATGTTTCGCCAAACCACTTGTCGGTTTCTTGTGAGGTGACATATATCTTCGAATAAGTGGTGTAAGCGCCAAGGACATGGGGAAGTTCTGGATGCCCAGACGCTCTTATTTCATCTGAAAACACACATTAAGATTATTGTGTGTCTTTTCGTGATAATCTTAATTCTTATTTTTAAATATAAGTTACATTGTATCCATGAATAATTTAAATAATTAATGAGAGTTAAAATAAACAAATAGATTCAACAATATTTTTTAGGAAAACTATAATTTTAGTAGTCAAATTACTTTTCAAAATTTATTAAGATTGTCAAATCATTCTACTTAACATAAGGCCTATTTGCTTTTAAATTTCATTCCAGTAAGCTAATATGCCTTTTTTCCAAAATTAAAAATCTACGTCAAACATGTTGTAATTTATGCTCACGTCCCCATTTTTTTTTATTTCTATTTTTCCCATAATGCCATTAGTTCGGGTTTTGCAAATTCAAATCGGCTTATTTGAGTGATGGTTTCAAATTTTCAAAATCTGAACCCTACTTTTCGCCTACTTAACTTGATCCCTTCTCCAAAAACTCAAACATGTACGAAGTTTCAAAATGTGAACCGGTTGGTTAACAAATTTCCCGTTTGGAATTTTAATTTCCAAACTAATTTGTTATACTTACGGTTTTTGAAAATCTGAGCCGATGGAATTTTCAAAAAAAACAAAAGACCGAAAGATAGGAACATCAACCTGAAAAATAACATATGGGTTTAATTCTTAAAAACTAGGGGATATTAGCATAAATTTTCCAAAAATTAATTAAAAGTTTCCCCAAAGATTAATTAAAAAACAAGAATACTGAATGTAAGCACACCCCGTAAAGCAATAGCTTAAAAAAACCCTCTATACACGTGGAAAAAATTTATGCAAGATTGAAACCCTGTGGTGCACCTCAAGAGTACAATAGAAGAGTGTTCTAGAGTTGAAAAAACTTACCTAATTGATCATCTTGACTGGATATAAAAAAAACAAAAGAAAAGAAAATTCAAATCCTCAAAATAGAACATTTTTAGTAAGTAATTCAGACCATCTATTTTCAAGATTATAATGTATTTCTAAATCTGCTCAATTTACACCACTTCTAGAATTTAAATTTCTTAATTATGGTTGAACATGGATTTTCTAGTTATAATAAGGTTTCTGACACCTGAACTACTGATAAAATTTACCCAAGTGTCTTAATTATATAATATAAAGTGGGGGCATTTTATGACGTACAATGGTTTGTACAAGGTTGAGGCTCTGAACAATAAAAGTAAGACTTCCTAAATAATATCGAAACATGATTTTTCAATAGCGGAAATCTTTGTGATAGCATCAAACTTTATTTGTGGCCTTAATTATAAATATAAAGCCTCAAAAATAGTGTTGATCAAACAAATCTATAATAACTGTAAAATATTAAAAATTAACGATCAAATAATGCACTCTAAGATGTACTATTTATCAGATTTGAAATCCATTTTTTCATCTTTATGCATCAGGTAAGATGCACTATTTATCGGATTTGAAATCCATTTTTTCATGTCTATGCATCTTGAGGTTGAGATGACTGATTTTTCCAACTCTAAAATTTTTTTTACAACAAAATGCCCCTTACAACTATAAAAATTACATTAACAAAAACTTGATAAAAAATTTCAAGCGGCACAATTTATAATGTTAAATTACTTGAAAATCCACACACGCACACACATGTATGCATGTGCACGCACACGATTTGTATGCGTGCGTCGGGATCCGAGGCCAAGGCTGGGCTACAGACCCAGCCAGTCAGGCCTTGTTCTTGGTCCCGGTCCAGCCAGGTCAGGTCCAGGTTGGGGGGGACTCTACTTGGATCCAGACATCCTTTTGCAGCCATATACATGCTACTGAAGGTGCACACCAATATTGAAGACCTAAGCATACCTATAACCATTCACAGAGATGCATGTGCTATATTGCTCAAGGCTACCTCCAAGACCATCATGCGAAATTTTAACCAGAATCATAGCTTAATTCCATTTGAAACAATGGGGTACACTCACACCGTTTGCTAGGGGCAATAACCGCGTTTACCTACATGATGTTCAGTGAGAACTTGCTTTCCTTACATGTCTGTCAACTGCCTACATGAAGCACCTGATTGAGACCATCAACTGAAGGTGAGAGCGCACCCCATACATTTATCCTTAAAAAGCAAGCCAACCCAAAAACAGAAGCACAAATACTAATTTAATGTAAAATGATTTGCTCCATGCCCTGCAGAGAGACACAAAGCAGGAAGCAATGGTTTCGAGAAGACAAATTTCACAAGAGATATTTATAGGAACGCGTCTTTCTCTAGCAGCTTGAGGACTTCTTGCTGATTGTTGAGCTTGGCAACATCTATGGGACTCTTTCCATCCAAGTTTTGCAGGGTCCTGCACAAACAAAAGGCACATAAGGTCACAAGACATAGCGAAATCTTTTTTATTTCTTTATTGTCACAAGAAGTAGAAATAGAGAGAAGGGAAAAGTGGCCAAAAAGGAAATTGTTCAAAAAGGCAAAGAAATGAGTGTCATAAGTTGACTTACACAGCTGCACCACTCTTGAGGAGGAGCTCTACGCACTCCTTGCGACCATAGCCAGCAGCATAGTGAAGAGCAGTGTTCTTATTCTTGTCTAGAGCGTCAACAGCAGCACCGGCTTCAAGTAGAATCTGGGCACATTTCACCTACAACAACAACAGCCACCTGTGATCGCTACCTAGAACAAATAGCCGTAAAATGTCAAGGGCATAATGACAGTCCCTTGTTCCTTCCTTACGTTATTACAAATTACAATGGCAATGAAGTAACTGAAAGTTACTAAACCGATAAAGCAATCACATATATCATTTAATGAGGCATAAAAAATTTCAAAGAGGTAAAGAGCCCATAAAGAAACAGATCAACGAAGATTAAAAACTTTCTAAACAGTGAGGAAAGGAAACATTAACATGACTCCCTTAGTAACCATGGTCTTGAAACTCAAAAGCAGATTGAGAATAGGTCCAAGCCAAAACCGAGTGGATCACTGATCAGTGAGCTTTTCAGTCTTCTTGCCCAAAAAACTTGAAAATAGGTTAATTTTATCAAATTTGTTTCTAATATTCCTGCCCCAACCTTGAATTAATTTTTTAAATACCCCTCCCACCCAAGATACTACCAAAGCTTCTAGTAGGGGAGAGAGGGAGAGGAACACAAAACTGTGTGTGAAGAACATCTGGACAGCAACTTGAAGTGGGCTATTGAAGGATGGAAGATTAGCTGGTCGGAAGTGTGAAGAATAATCAAAATGTGGGCACATTACCTTGGAGGAGTCTTTTATACCATGTTGAATAAATTGAGTTGGCTTTTAGATGGATTTATTATGTGTCCCTGATCACATCAGATGGATGAAAACCCAATACAAAAAACCTTAGAGAGAGATTTCCCATGGATTTGGGAACCCTCAAAGAAACTGCACCCATCAGTTTCTCCATTAACCAAAGTTGTAAGGATCTCAAGATCATGACTGAAACATGTCTTTAAGGTTGACACTTACAAAAAAGACCAGGATTAAACAAGGAATGTTCTGCTAAGAAACAACTCAAGAGGAAAGTTGGAACCGTTGGATGGTGCACAAAGGAAGCACAACTATTTGGGGATTTGGAAATCCATAGCATGCAGAAAATCGTAAATGACCTGTAGGATATAAAATGTCCAAAAGATCTTGAGATAAACTTGCCAAAACTCAAAAAGGAACCCTCAAATCTGTTGTTCCAGCAGCTTGGCATCTCACTCGTCCAAACAGGACATGTATAAAGTGCAGCACATCTAGGGCACTGTAAGTGCAGTGGAGTACACAATAAAAGATTGACATGACAATATTTTCATTCCATGCAAATTTCTTCACATACTGAAAAGGTTCAACAACATTTTCATTCCACGCGAATTTCATTAAGTTTAGGTTTTTTTCATCCAGAAGTGCTTCTTTTTTCAATCCTTCTGGTTCTTAAATGAAACATGCAGCTTCTAAAGTTAAATCTTGATCGTTTAAATTTTAAGAAGGAATTCCATACTACATAAATCCAGTAATTCGCATGAAACGACTATGACTCAGGTAATTTACGCAATACGTATTAAACAAGATAAAATTTCTTTCCAGAAACATAAAATTTCTTACCATAATATATTAAGATACACAAACATTAAAATTCCCTAAATTTGGGAACCCCCGGATAATTAAATTCACCTGGAATTTATGGAATTGCCCATACATTTTGCTTTGCCCAAATTTCTGGGACTCCTGAAAAATATTTAGGTTTTCTTAAATATTTTGTATCTCATAAACATTTCTTAGTGTCAGGAAGCCCAAACTAGATGCAATAGAGGATCTTCCCCAAGATTTAGGCTTTTCAATTTATATTATAGAATCCCAATGTCTTAGGCATGTTACTGATTTGGAGGAAATTAAGGGCCCAAAATCCACTGATTTCTGGATAGAAGTCAAAAGGAAAAATAGGATTAGCAAGAGGAGGACATTCATAAACCTTATACAGAGATATATAGGAATCTTATGGATGCACTCTCTCAAGATAAACCAAGAAAGGAAAAAATAGAGAACTCAAAATGGGACTTTCATTTTCATTTTTATGAAATAACAGTAATAGATATTGCAGTTAACAGATTCAAGGAAAAAACAAAAAAAAAGATTCCCAATTATGAAACCCTTAGGGTAGCCCGGGTAGCCCGGTAGAAGGAACACCTCCATCAGAAATGGAGACAACAAAAAGAGTAGCTACATCAAAGGTGAGGGACAAACCCCAAAGAATTGTAGGCTGTAGCCCATTGGCCACAAAAGCCTCAGACTGTGGATATCAATAGGGAATAAGTAAATGACCCTTTTCCTGAAAAGAGAATGAGTTAAGTGCAAAGTACAAACAAATTTATTGGTAGATATTCACTGCCGAACTTAAACAACATAAAGACAAATTTAGTGAAAGATATTCAGTGCCAGTGCCAAATGTAACAAAAGTCCACAGCAAGAAAGCATACATAGAGATCAGCTTAATTGATCATCGAAATTTCAATTAGATCCTAGGAGCAGCCATACCTCGCCATATCCACAAGCAAAATGCAATGCTGTCCTACCCTCTGAATCTTCTTCATCTTTGTCTGCACCAGCAGCCAATGCACTCTTCAAGCCCTACACAAAAACATATACAACAGAAGCGAAAACGTCATATAAGTGCTACTACACTAGAGTACCACAGCTGCAAAGGAATGATCACATTTGTCGAACACATCAAAGAAGATCAACAAACTAAACAAGATATTCAAATATAGATATACATAAGAGGCCCTCTGTGGCAGTTGGTGGAAGAAAAGTTTCCACAAGCAACTATTTTAACCAAAAACTCAGAATACTTGAAATTCAAGAGACCCCCTTTTTAGTTAGGGTGCAGTTTGCATACGGACGCATCCGTAGGTGTAGAGGTATGGTGCACCTTCAAATTTTATCATGGTATATAATTTTGATGTAAAATGTTCTTAGGATTATCTCAAAATCTATTTTTATATTTAATTATAAAATTTTAAATTTAAAAAATGGTTAAAATCAAGTAGATCTATAAACATATGAAAATCTTGAAAATGGACGGTGTAGATAATATGTTGTAAAATGCACTATTTCTAAGACAAAATCTTTTTATTTTTTATAGTCATACATCTCGATGTCGAGATGATCAATCAAAGGGTTTTCAACATTAAAACTACCTTTTCCGATGGAATTTTGAAGGGCACCCGTAGTTCTACATTATAAGGTAGCAGCCTTATATAAACTTTGTCCGACCACTTAAAAAAAAAAAAAAAGAGCCCTTTTTTTCTTTTTGAAATAACTGATTTGAACAAATTTCTTACCATATTTATAATAATAATGTTAATTAAATGTTGAGTTATTAATTATTTTCTGTTGAACCGTTAAATTAATTGTGAACAAAATGATCTACAGAACTTCATGAGTAACAATATGATAAACCATAGAGCCAAAAGTATTCTTAAGAGGAAACTACAGAAAGCATTTGGCCATGTAAACAAGACATTTGGTGTTAAAGAATTGATATTATTAGTTAGTGGCTATTCTCATAATTTTCAGAGACAAAGGGGGGGATCCAAGAAAATAAAAGAAATCCATTAAGAAAATATGCCACGAAAGTAACAAAATGGAGTCATATCCTGCTGTCTATTTGTCTATGGAAAAAGTACTTCAAATTCCAGTTAATGTTTAGATGAAATGCAACCTTTCTAAGTAAATTACAATATTTTGGAATCTGAAATCACTAAAGATGGAAACTAATTGGAGAAAAGAATTTGCAATGTCTTGGCACACAATATATCTCTTGGAAGTCATATCGTACAAAGCAATTTGCATATAAGGTTGGAATAATAAGTTTCATTTTTTAAAGAATTTTATAGGCTATAAAAAATTGACCTAATCCCATCATGAACCATCTAAGCAAATTAATAGAGTCACCCTTGGTCAAAAGAGGCAAGGAAATCACAAAGGTAAAGCCTAATGTAACTAATATATTGAACCAATCAGATCCCTCCACAAAATTCAAAATAATAGTATAAGCTAAATCCTATTGCTTATACATTTATCCCAATAAAATGATCCGCTGATCCACAACAAGCAATTCGACATGAGACTTAAGTCACTCGTAAATTATTGTTTTTGTTGTCAAAAAGAAAAAGGAGCCAAAAATTCATAAAAAAATAAATTACTGTTTATGTTGGCATTGGATTGAAAAAAAAATGCATTTTGCAATCTATTCTCACGTATATTAAGGGAAAGCATGCCACTACAAATGAATGTCAACCGACAAGTTCATTCAACTAGTATTAACCATGAGATATCAATAACCCATAAGACGGAAATTATCAAATGAGGCGCATGAATATAGTACGATAGTAGAAATCTACAATAAAAACAAATAGTCATACAATTAATGAAAAAAACCCAATCAAAAGAACAAGCTAAAGAGACCCATAAACGAGAGAGAGAGAGAGAGAGAAACAGAGAAAAGGAGAGAGAGAGAGAGAGAAACAGTCTCTAAAAAATAATTCCAGTAAACCCAAACAATTTTAGTATGCCCAGATAGAAATAAGACCTAACCCCAGTTCAGGAAGCCTTGAAAACCCTAGTTCAGAAATAGTAAGTGATAGAGAGAGAGACATGTGTATTTTTTAATGGAAGAGAGAGGTAGTGGTTGTGCATTGTTGTGAGAGAGATGTGGATGCGAGAGAGGGGAAGAGAGAGGTGGCATAGGCGGCGGCTGTGGTTGCTGTGTGTGAGAGAGATGTGGAGGCAAGAGAGGGTGGAGGCGAAAGAGAAAGCAGGAGAGAGAGGCGGAGGCGAGTGAAAGAGTGGGGAAGGGGTTCCTTGGTTTTGGTTAGAGAGAGAGAAGAATAGGGAGCATGTTTTCTTGAGAGACACACAGGTGAGTGGGAAGAGAGAGATGGAGGAGGGAGAGAGAGAAACAGTCGATACACTAAAACTAGGGTACGGGGTGTCAGGTCATTAAGATAGCAAAGAGAGAGAGAGAGAGAGAGAGAGACAGAAGGCTGCCAAATCACAGCCATTCATTTTCCCGCTTAAATCCTGGTTGTTGGGTGCATGTATAGGGTACACGAGTAGGCTGATGCCTAACAGGATGAATTTCCAATATATAGTACATAATATATAATATAAAATGTTAACGTTTATCAAAATATATATATAATATATAATATAAATAATAAGAAAATTTATCAAAACATCTTAGATGGAGAATTTAACATTTTACCCTTATGCAACTATTCTAACTAAGAACCAAGTGTTTTTCTAAGGGTTATTTGAAATTAAACCAAAAGATATGGAAGGGTTGAAAAGGGCAAAGGGTAAGCCCAAAAGCACATGGTTGGAAGTTGTCCGAAAAGATATGGGGACTTGTGGCCTCACTGAGGATATGGCTTTTAATAGAGTAGAATGTAGAACCAGGATTCATGTAGCCAACTCCAAGTAATAGGGAAAAGGCTATAATGATGATGATGATGGGTAAAGTGTTAAAACATTCATCTCTCATGGGTAGTTTGATAAATTTCCCTAAGTAATATATCATATATAGTACTAATTTGCTATAGCACTATAATACTATATTATATACATATAATATTATAGTTGTATAGTACTATATAATAGCGAGATAATTGCAATATATAATATATACAAATAATATAACTATAGTACTACATATTACTATATTATTATATGTTATTATATGGTAATAGTTTACTATGGTCCTATATAATACTAGATATAATATTAGATAATATATAATGGAAAAAGATCATGTCAGCCCATGGGCTGATGGAATTGTGTGAGGCCAACGTCCCAGATTGAATCTGGGCTAATCATCACTACATTTCGCATTTTAATTTTAATTTTTTTTTCTACAAATACGAATTATACAAAGTTTGGAGTGTCCACTCTTCTCATTAAGTAAGACCTAATAAAAATAATTAAAAACTAATTTGTAAAAACCAAATTGACCAAAATACCTTTAAAACTTTCAGGGTATTTTAGTAAAAAAAATTAAAAATTATTTTTTTAATATTTTTATTAGATTCGCCTATTTTTCAAGCTTCAGCACTCTAAATTTCATGTGATTTGGATTTGCAGAAAAAAAATTCAAATTCAAATACGAAATGCAATCATGACCATTAGATTGGCCCGAATTCAATTTGACCCATTGGGCATTTACTGTAGTTGTCAGCTATTGGTTGATCTCAACTAATCCATATATAATATGTATAATTAGAAGGGTCTAAGAACGGTGAGGATCTTAACCTTTCCCTTAACCCGTCCCAAGCCCGGGTAAAAGAGGTGGCTTGTGTTTGGTAAGCAACCAACATCAAACTTTGCCAAAAATTTCCATGAATCTAGAAATACAGCATCAATACAAAGAACTTTGGAGGGATACTTTAGAATCTAAATGTTTTAAAATTAGCTAGACAAATGCAGAGTATATGGAATGCAAGTTTAATAATAATAGAAGTTGAGACGAGGAAGTAGTTACGATTGACGGCCATGAAATACCAAAAAGAGTTTACTTTCGATATCTTGGGTCGATAATCCAAGAAAATTGAGAGATTGAGGAAGATGTCGCACATACAATTAGAGCTAGGTGGGTAAAGTGGAGATGTGCAACCGAAGTTGTATGTGATCACCGAATACCAATGAAACTGAGAGGCAAGTTCTATAAAATAAGTGTGAGACTAGGTTTGCTTTATGGGGTGGAATGTTAAACGATCAAGAAACAACATACCCATAGAATGAGTGTAGCTGAGGTGAGGATGTTGAGATGGATGAAGGGCAAGAAAAGAAGGGATAGAATTCGAAATGAATACATTCAGGAGATTTTAGGTGTGGCAACAATAGGCAATAAGATGAGAAAGAAGACTTAGGCAAGCTAGCCATGTGAGGCGCAATCCCAATACATCACCTACTAGGAGGTGTGAGTTAATTCAAGTGGAAGGCTCAAAAAGTGCAACGGGGTAGGCCCAAAAGGACATGGTTGGAAGTAGTGAGAAAAGATATGGGGACTTATGACCTCACTGAGGGTATGACCCTTAATAGAGCAGAATGGCAAACTAGGATTCATGTAGCCGATCCCAATTAATTGAGAAAAGGCTCTGACAATGATGATGAATTAATATATGTATGAAGAAAAAGAAGAAGCCAAGGCCCACCTTCACAATGGGGCTAGGTGCTAGGCTGGGTAGCACCCCCGCCTTGGCCACCTAGACCTCCCTCCCCTATAGGTGCCTACCTAGACCTAGGTGCGTCTAGGGCATTTGTATGCCTAGGCCACCTAGGCATCTTTTTTTGTTTTTTCCATTTTTGGGGGGGTTGGGGCGATTTTGAACAATGCATATACTAGCAAAAAAACACTTGCAATGCACGTTTTTATTGTAGCGATGTTTTTGCTATGGTTTTGCAATGCGCATTTCTATTTAGGTAGATTGAAACCATTAAAATATGATAGATAAAGATGGTGCAAGCCCCTCAATTGCACATGTAGTCAATACCCATCAGGTGGGTAATCATTAAAGAAAATCTAAAGATTTTGGAAAATCTTTTAAGAAAAATCTCATAAATCAAGAACTAAATCCAACCATATTGCAGCAAAAACATTATCATAAACACTCTTCTACCAAGATAGGATTTCGGATCAAAACAAATTCAAAATTTTGAGTATGCATGGAAGAACAATTTCCCTGAAGGTAACACTAAGAAAGTTACAAAAGAAACAAACCTCCACATCACCAACACTTGCAGTGTGATGCACAGTAGATTCGTCCTCGTAGCCACCTTCTTCTTCAGCTTCTTCCGGTCCAGATTGTTCGGTTGAAGTTGCAGCCTCTCCGGCAGCCCCAATTCCCATAGCTTGACCTAACTTTGAAAGGACCTCAGGATCATTCCAATACCTAAAGAGAACAACATAGGAGTTGATGAAACTCACAAAGAAAGATGAAGATTAAGAGATTAACTTTTAATGAAGATTCTCAAGAAGGGACATACAGAACATTATAGCTTCTAAATCTAAATAATGCAAGTCATACCTCATCATTGCAGCAGGACCACCGGTCTCAATTTCTTCTATAATATGCTTTAATGATGGATCTTCCCTGACACGAGACATACGTTCCTCTAGTTGTTCTTTCTGAGCTGGATTAGTCAAACTTTCCAGCATACCAGACATGGAAGGATCCTATAGGAACCCCACAATCAAAATTACTTTGCATCATATCCTTAATGTAACACTGTATATATCACAGAGGGATATATATCCTTACCTGCATAAGAGCATTGCCAAGACGTTCAGTCATGGTCATAAACTGAGGATTTTGCATTACTTGCTGCATTGTAGAGAAGTATTGCTGTGTGTCCAATTGAGGGATGCCATCTTGTCCTGCTCCTTGAACACTTTTCTGAAGCACCTCTGCCATCTGGTTAAAGGATGGATCCTTTGCTATCTGTTCTGCTAACTCCTTGATGCTTGGATCCTACAAGAACAGGATAACACAGTTACTATAACATGTGAACTTAGTAATTTTCTAATAAAAAAAATATAGGATTATTTTGAAACTATATTATAAAAAAGCAAGTACTAAATGTCAGGCACTAGAGACCATGCGAAAAACGACAAGATAATATTACAAAGTAGCAAATGCAAGGGCTTTTGTTTGTTGAGACAAGTTCTGCCAACGTTGATGACCATCAATTCGATGGTATTCAAGAAAAACAGGTGCTCTTTTCAACTTCAAACCTGGTCACTTTGAAGGGTGCCAATTACAAATAACTCAGGCGGGCAGGTCCACTTGGGCTCGCCCAAGTTGTTGAACATTGATAATGTATCAAAGACTGTGACATTACTTACTACAGATTATTCATGACCCTTGTCCCAGAAAACATTTTGCAATAAAGAATTGGGTTCTCATTCTCACAAAATATCAAAATGCACATTTTTATATGGGCAGGTGGACATCCAACCCATGGTATAACAGCGCAAAATTTTTTTGTAGTGGTGCATTTCTATGTACTATTTGGATGCAAGCAGATATATCCCATCATTGGCATAGCAGTACAACGTCCACTTCCACAAGCCGTATTATCTCTTTGCACAGAACAGTAAATATACAAAAGATAGTTCGAGATTTGGTATGCATTAATTAGCAGGAACTAACGTATCATCAGTTAGTACCGTACCTATTTCGTGGTCATCCAGGAAAAACACAAGGCAAGGCATTATTTTAATACTTCAACACAATTGGACTACTGCCAATAGGCAACCAAGTAAAAAACGGAAATATCTGAGTTACTATATGCCATTCACCATTCAAACACTACAAACCAATTTTCCAAGTTGGCATGGCTCATGAAAGATGATAGCACAAATGTAGAAAAGAAGCATACATTAAGCAATCCAGACATCGCAGAGAAGTCAAATGGATTTGCAGGAAAACTCGTCCCAGTCCCAGAAGGAGCCCTTCTTTGGCCAGGCTGTGACTCTGAGGAAGAAGAGTCGGTTTTTGAGACCTTGTTATCGGCAGAATTCGACTTCCCATCTGTAAAACATGCAACAGAGTTAGGAAGAAGTTCATTTACAGACAAAAAAAAATTACATACAAGAGAATAACTATCAATTGTCAATGCAAAACAGCATGGAAGCTCTTTTGCTATAAGGTTATTCATGATGCATTCCAAGTCACAAGTTATAAACCGTCAAAAGATTTATTTCATTCAAAAAATAATAGGACAAAACACATCCCAATAAGATAGCAGGGGCACATTGTGCCACATAATTTGACGAATGACCAAGCAATACTTTTACTAAAACAAAAGGACACAATCCCCTTATCTCGCCCCCCCCCATCAAAAAAAAAAAAAAAACTCTTTCTTCTAGAAATACATATGCATTAGTTCATAAAGAAAATCCAAGGTAGAAACCAGATAATTTGATGGACACAGGTATACTAGGCATGCTCAAATATACAGGTATCATAAGTTATATGCGGATCTATCCACATCCTTATTGTCAAATTTCCAAACTCTGGTGAACTTTCCTAAAGGATAGCTCATCGATGCACACAGCAAGAATTCACACATGATAAACTTCTTCAGTGGATCCAAAACCACTTACTATAAAACTTGTACATTGTAAATTCCTACAAATACGTATATTCTTAAATAACTGATCGTAGTTGTATATCTTTGAAAGAAACATCCAATGTGAACCAAAAATTAGACATACTTTTCCCTTTTCTAATCAAGATGAGACATTTCAGATACGGCTATTGAAATTTTTAAGATTTGGTATTTAACCTTCAAGAATGATAAACTTGGAAAACTATGCAGTTTGAGCCAGGGTTTTTGACACGAGCATTAATGGCCTTACTAGAATTTCACAGTACATCTTATTGGGTCTTGTAGAAACCAATGCACAAATACTGGCAAGAACCAGCTAGATAAGATGGGGAATAAATCTGATGGTAACGGCAAATTAAATTGAATAGAAAAATATGAAATTGGGGGAAGAAAACACTGAGAGGGAGAAGTGAATCAAAGACGAAATCATGCATGCGCGAGAATGCGCATCAATCCCAGTATTCATCCCGACACCATCCCTCGCCCAAGATACAAAGTGAAAGGACAGATTACAAATGACAATAAGAGGGATAAACAAAACATGCACATCAAATTAGTGAACAAAGACATACCAAAAAATAATATTGACCAAGAAATAAATTCTCCACAAGAGAACCATTTCCAATCAAACAAATCGGGAAAAGATATAGCATCAATAATACAGCAACAAAGAGAACCTAACCTTTAAATAGCGATTGTGATGAAAGAAATAATAATAACGACCATAGCAACGGTAGGATGACTAAAACTATCTGATTTGTTCCTCGAAACCCTTCCATTTAACGAGCACATAATACAAGGAAATCAAATTTCATTCCTTCATTTCATGAACACATAATACAAATAAGTTAATTTCATTATCTGGAACTCTTGAATGCAATATACAGTTTCAATATAAAAACATAGATAAAAAACATAAAAAACTTGCATGCTATATCGGGATTCAAAAAAATCCATATAGAGAAATTCCCCATAAAACAAAAGAGACTGATAGACAATCTACACAACTCATTATAAGAGGGAACCATTTCCCAGCAAATGCAATGATCTGCATAATAGTAAAAGTGGAAGGAAGTAAAGGCTTACGAGATGATGCCATGATTATAGTTTGGTCGCCGGATTAATTAACTCCCCGCGATTCCCAATCCTCCTACCAACCTAAATCAATGGCACACAGAGTTAGGTTAAAGCAATTCCAGCGGATACTAGAGAGAAAGGGAGAGGGAGTTGCAGAGAGAGAAAGATAATTACTTGTTGTTATTGAGAGTAGTAGGGGGGATGAATCTAAGATTGAAGAAATAAGGAAGGATCCTGCAAATTGAGCTGCGCTTTGCCTTCGCTATTCGTAGGCCCGTCTGCGTTTCCCCCTTTCCCTCTTTCTATTATTTTCCAGACTTGTAAAATATTAAAAAATGGTACAGCAATGTGTTGTTTGTTATATCTTATCTCTTTCTATTTCCTTGGTAAGCAAGGGTGCCAGAGATGCCCCTCATCTTCCCTTTCCCATATCCGCTTGTTTGTTTCCCCCAGTTTGATTGGCCATTTTTATCATGGAAAATGAACCCGCACACATAATGGTGTGGCAGCACCTCATCTAGTCATAAATGCCAACCCCTAAAGAGAGGCATTACAATTAAGATAACACCAATTATCGCATTGGTGAGGGGGTTGGCTTGATTAAAATCTATCAAACTACAACTTGAATTGGTTAGACTGGATTGCAGAAATAAAATAAAATAAAATAAAGATAATAGTTTAAAAATATAAATAATATATTAAAAAATTTATCTAATGTCATTTAGTTTGTTGAACTGATTAAAACCGCTTAATTCGAAAACATTACAACAAACTTTATTTTTATTTTGGATCAAACCTGGCAAGGAACTAATGGGTGATCCAACAGTTCAAACTAATATTGATAACTATGAAAATATGACTACCGATAACAACCCAGTACCAAGTACAATTCACAAAAAATTACTAATTTTAAGGAAAGTAAAAAATGAGGTCATTTACCTTTGATATACGTGCTCACAATTCATCTTGCCATTGGATGTGAAATTGGGTGGCTACATTTATTCCATTGATCAAACCCAAACTTCAAAATAAATTTTCTTGTGTGATACATCCAAACTATCAAATTTCATATCTGATGCTGGTAAGTAATCGTGACCTCATTATATTAAAGGTAAATGGTCTCATTGTATACAATCCCTGATTTTGAACAATCAAAAGCAATGAGTAAATCAAAACTTCAAATATGTAGTTTCGATGCAATAAACCTCAATGATGTCGTTCAAAAATAGACCAATGTGATATTTTCAGGGTATTTGTATCTTTTTATAATTATTTTATTATTTTCACCCACTTTTCTTTCAACAAATATCACTTACAAGAGATCTCATTACAATAATTCTTGCTTTAAAAAAATAAAAGTAAAACCAACAAATCCAATATCTTTAAACCTTTATGTCATTAAACTAATTTTCTTTAAACAAATAAAATAATCACTACTTCTCTTGTGCATGAGAATGTAAATACAATATAATTGAGAAGGCAAAAAATAAAAAGAAGATGCAATAAATAAATAAATAAAATGTTGGATATTACTTTAACTGAACTTAATACACCTCATACCGTATCACCACCATCAAATCGCTTGAGATCAACAATTAGCCTTCAATCTCAAACGGAAAGCACATTGAGTCACCACCATCAAATGGCACGAAAGCAACAATCAACCTTTAATTTCAATGGGAAAGCAAGTTTCAAGGCAAACCCTCTAATGGAACCATGAACTCTTAATCACAAAATTCGAACTTAGGTACAAGCCCATAAAACTTAGTTCAATCAAAATAACATCTATGTGCTATTACCCAACCCTTAGGTTATAAGAGGGAGATAGAATACCATCTAGGTGGGGCGTGCACCTTAGGTCAGCCTAGAGAGACACATGGTCCAAAAGGTGGGCATGCCCCCTTTGTATGGTCTAGAGAGCGAGACTTCTAGGGTTGGGGTGTGCCCCTTATTACTATCAAAGAGAGATAAATATTTAGAGAGAATAGGAATATTGGTGTGTAAAGAATTATGGGTAAGATGTATTCTTTTTATTATATAAAAAAATAGGATAATGGTTTATTAGGATTTCTATCGATTTCCTCATTCTTGTGGATTGAATATGAACCGTTGATCATGGGTGACTTGTGGGGTGAGAGATTTGAGCCCTCAATTCCATAGATGCTATAGTGTTATAGCTTTTATCCCATTTATCATTTGACCATTATCCTAATAATAAAAATTAAATAATATAACATAAAAATTAAATAATATAACATTAATCATAAATATTGTGCTTTATTCAAATTATGCATGAGCCTCCAAATTGATTCAAATCTTCCTCAAGCCTAATCACCTTTCCAAATCTCATAATAACTTATCCAAGAAAAAGCTGCTACTCATGTCAATTCAACCCTATAAAATAGGAAAACCCCTCCAAATTGGGGTGCCATGCGGATAGAAAGCCCCAAAAATTGGGGCATGCCACCCCATGAGATGGCTTTATTAGCCCACCAATTTAGGGCATGGTGTGTCGATGTGCAAAATGGGTCTCAATGTTATTTTAAATATTTTTAAAATTAATTAAAAATTTTAAAATTATTTTGAATATGTAAAACATTAAAAAATCAATATATCTATTTGTATAAATCCATTTTTTATAAATAAAATATACAAAGATCTAGAAAATTCAATAATTCTAAAATCATATCATCATAAAATAAGCACAATTAAATTCATTATATGGGATAAAGATCCATAATGTATAGGAATAAAAATTTTGGAGCACTTCACCTTCAACTGTGGACTACGGTCTACACTTACTTTATCGACTGACCTATTTCCCATGACACACAGTCTAGGGGCTTGTTTTTTTTTATACAAGAATTCATAAATTTGATCAGAAAGAAATTAAAAAGAAATTACAGAATCAAAGACAATTGTCTTTGTTAAAAAAGTACCCCCCTTGACAAGAAAATCAGCCAACAAATTCGCTTCTCGATAAACATGCACAAAAGATAAATTAAAGAGTATAAACAAATCCATTACATGGGCTCATTAGTTGATCACCAAAGTCTAGTTTATGAGCCAAGGGATCATAATCGCAGTTTATGGAATTTAGGTTATCCCGGCCAAGGTCATATAGTATTGATGTGACCACAACTCCTATAATATATAGGGATATCTTTCGCACATACGTAAACTTCATCTTAAAATGTGGTTCACTTTCCCGAAACAATTATCATTATGTATGCAATGTGATAGTACTAAATAATGTGTCACTTATTTACAATACATTACAACGGGGTATATTCGTTGATTGGGTTAGGGCTTTTTGGGGGGTCAACTCACTTAAATGCCCTCATTGTTTGCCATTTCAAATATTGGATATGACAGTTTGAATAGCTTTAAAAACTTATTTGGATGAGGTAAGAAATGAAAAATAAAAAGGATTACATTCAAATATTAATAGAAATAACTTAACCCCCTTTAATGATTTTTTAAGGGTTTCATGTCTTTTAACCGTCATGTTTTTAATACTAATGCATTTACAAGTTAGCATGATCTCAAATTAATTATTAAGGGGTCAAAATATTAAAGGGGTCCAATGATCTCAATTAAGATTTTTGCGGTTCTTTTTTATTTTTCATTTCACTAAAGTACATCCTATAAAAAAAAGCGAGAAAATATGTAAAATTACCCATAAGAATTTAACAATTTAACACTTTACCCATAGCCTTTGGTTTAATTTCAAAATAGCGGTAAAGCAGCACTTGGTTTTGAGATTGAATAGTTCCAAAAGTGTAAATGGTTGAAGACAAAAATTAAAATAAGGTTGCAGCTTTATATTATTGAAGTGAGGAGCACTCCAACCGATCATATCGACCTCGATATGCGTGGATATAAAAAAAATAAAAAATTTAAAGTTTTCAAAATAGTGTATATTATAACAAGTTGTGTAGGTCGTATATTTTAAAGATATTCAAGTGTTTATAGATTTATTTGACCCGTACCATTTGTGAATTTTATAAATATGAATAAGAATAGATTTTCAAGCCATGAGGTTTCCACACCCTAATTACGTACCCAAATAAATTTTAGAGGTACGTCTTACTTCTACATTATAAATGAAGGTGCCCTATATAAACCTCACCCATTGTTAAATAGTTAAACTCTTATCGGTATTTTGATAAAATTTTCAAAAAAAATTTAAAATTTTCAAAAGTCCATTGTTTAGGATTGGAAATAAAAAAGAATCTAAGGTATTTCAATAATTTGGCCTTTAAAAATCCGCAATTGTATGACAAAAAAAACTCCTGTTTATTCATAGTTACAAACAAGAAATACAGTATTTCGTATGAGTAACAAGGAACAACTACGCGTATTTTATCGGTTGATACAAAGAATGAAAGTAGGCCTAGTTATGCCTCGTTACTAATCTTAAGCTACATATTCTTGGTTTGCAGTGGTATTTTGAAGCATACAAAAACGCCTGAAAAAAAGAAAGAAAGGCGCGACCATGAAATAATGAAATACGAATAAAGCGGGACTTTTTTATAAAAAAAACCCCGCAAAAAATCGAAAGATATTCACGCCAATCTTGCTCATTGCCAGGAATAGTTTGGTGCAGGAAGGAGCACCCAGCTCTCTTCGCTTCTCAGCTCATTCGCGCTCGGTCAAAAGCTTCCCGCTGCAACAACATCCAACCCTCATCTCTTTTCTTCCCTTCCCTTCCATTTCAGGTAAGCTTCTTCTTCTTTTTTTTCTCTGGCGATTTGATGGCTTTCTTTCTTCTTTTTTTGGGTCTTTGTCTTCTATGGATTTGTATCCATAGAGCTGTAACCGGCAGCCGCCATTGACTGTTCTACACTAAAACCTAGACCTCATCCTGTTCCGATGATGGTGGGGATAGCGTTTTCGGCATTCATTTTATTTCATTCAATGCTTAAATTTACATCAGTGGTCAGTAGCAGTTGATATTGTCTCGTTTATTATGAAATGCAGCATTTGCAGGATTTTCGAAAGATCCATCACTCCGCAGCTTTCCCTAATTATAATGTTCCAGTTTGTCTTGAAAACAACTCACCCACCAGTATGTTTTCTTGAGTTGTATTTTTCTTTCAAATGTAGAAATACATGCTGTAAAATTGGTAATAACTAAAAAAAACTGTTTGCGCAATAATTTAAATGTAAATTATCTGTTGCGAATGGAGTTTGTAATGTGGATTTTATGAAAATAGATGTCTCTTATTAGATTGTCGATAGGACAAATGAGCATCAGGAAAACATTCATAATAATTTAGTCGAACATCAAATGCTAGGCCACATTTTAGAAGGATATGGGCAAGACGTTAGGACCTGGCTTTCAACTTTAGATTGCAAAAAGTCTAGTGGAACACCAAGTGCCAGTTCCATGCACTATAGTGTCTGGATTGGGAGGGTTACATTTGCTGTTCTTTTGAAGATTTGTTTTAAGTTAGTTTCTGTTTTAGCAAGAATTCCTGGTTGTCAGGCATGTGAGAAAGGTGCATCATTACATTATATCATAGTGCATTTAAGAAATTTAATCGCTTGGTTCACAATTTATTAGGCAAGGTGCTAGACATATGTGCAGTGTGAAGTTTAGATGGTCCTTATGTTGCCAAATCTGATTTATTTAGGCTTTTGAAGATAAAATTCATGGTGAATTGGAGCTCTATACACAAACTTTGGGAGAAATGGGCTTCCAGCAACGTAGGCTCATCTGGTGAGAAGCTTGGTCTTCTCTCTACAAAGGTCCCTGTTATTCTTTTAATTTTGTTTTCATTTTTATTGTTACTAAAGATCCTTCTTCGTAGCAAATCCTTTTCTATCACCCATGAGAATATTGTCATTGATGTAGATGAGCCATTGAAGGCAGCTTTGCTACTTAACTATGATCTGAGAGCACCTTCTCGCCTGAATTCTGTAATGTAAGACATCAAATTTTCTTTATCTTTTCTCCTCCTTGACTTATTGTTCATGTGTCATACTAAGCATTTTTTGTTTCCTCTTTCGGAAGTATTTCAACCTGTTATTTTATGATTAGCATTAGCCTGTTTTGCCAATCAGAATTTAGATTCCCTTTTTGTTCATTTGAACTGTATCTCAATGTGATTTAACATCATCGATCCTGAATATCTTGTTCAGTGTTCAATTGTTATTTGTTTGGCATGGAAGTATTTATCAAGGCACACGAAACAACAAATTTCGTTTGGAGAAAAGGAGAAGTTATCAAAAAAATACAGCCCAATTTATGTATGTCAATGAAAATACTTGCAAACGTGCAATTTATCCTAGCCTTATGGATCTCATTGTTTTTATCTAGGGCTGTTACTTGTTAGTTTCATATTTGAATCACTAGAATATCTACAAATTTCAACATACTTATATTGTGAAATATGTGAAGGAATTCATTATTGTTGTGGATAGTAGTTTTGTGGAGCCGAACAATGTGCATGTCTTTTCTCTTCAACCACAAAGAGTACTAAAAAGCATATAAACGAACCCCTGCCCTCGGCTTTATATTCTGTGGCTTGGGAGGGATGTCACAGGGGAAATGTTTGTCATTCTGTTACTAGATTAATGTTTTGCTCTTCCGAAATGTCGTACATAGTATTTAATGTATTAAGAGGGGCATTTCCTTCAGTTTTTGTCCATTATGTCTTCATGTTCATTACTACAGGTGTGCCTGCATGTGTGCACTCACATAGATGCATTGTTGTGGTTGTGTGCATGTTTGTATTTTCTGTTGAGGCTATGTGCATGTTTGTATTTTCTGTTGTGGCTATGTGCATGTTTGTATTTTCTGTTGTGGCTTTGTGCATGTTTGTATTTTCTTTCTCTTTCAGTTATTTTTTGTGACCAAAGCTGCTCTGTTAAAAAGTCTATCATGCTGTGCTATATGTTTTCTCCATTAGATTAGAGGACACTCCTGCTGGGAATATGTATATTTTATTTCTCTGGTGAAATCAAAGTTTGTTCAATCAATAGAAACCTAACATGTGGTTGGATAGTTTAGGTGGTTAAAACTGTGTTGTTTTTTGTTTACAGAGTAGAGCAACAGGGAATACACGCCCGGCCTGATGAACTAAGTTCTCTTCTCGACTTTGTAAGACGGAACAATTTTCAGAAAGAATGCTTCTTCATTGGGACAAACCAGTGTGAGTGTTTATTTTCCATTCTATGATTATCTTTTCATTATTCTTTTGCTGGTTGATGTAGAAACTATGATTATGTATGGTTTGCTTGCCTGGTCATACAAATAATATAGTACGAATATTGCCAAAATCAGAAGTATTGTGTGCTGTTGTTGCTAATTGTGTAGGAGGTCCATTGTCAATTCACATACTGCATTTGTTAGTTTCTATACTCATCTGTTCATTTGGTCTGTTGGAAATAATTATGTTAAAATATGTGTTCATACTACATACTTGTCCAGTTAGCTATTAGAGATGAAAAACGTTTCATACTGACATTCTTGTCGAGTTATTTGTTATTAGAGATGAAAAAAGTAACATATAGTGTGCTAACCACATTTCCAGATTTGGTCACTTCAGTTCATGACCAGTGGTTCTGTGCAAGGTGTCTGAATACATCAAAGCATGCAGGTGAAGGTGCCATCATAATGCTTAATGCAGCATTCCTTTTGGTTGCAATGTAAGGCATAGACAAAATCTGGATTCTTATTTTCTGAAATTTCAGTTGTTAAGAACAGCACCGAATACGGTATCATGCACATAAATTTAGCAAGTTTATAAACCACTTTCTGTGATTTATAAACCGCAGAAAAGGCTCTGATGATGATGATGATGATGACAAACCACTTTCCGTGTTGTTGTGATTTATTAAGTTAGCAAGTTCACATGTTGAAACAATTCCCAATGTATAGTTGGAAGCTTTAATTTGTGTTGATGATGCTTCCTAGGTATGATGGTTTGATTGGTGCTGCATCTCGAGCAATGGTTGCTGTTGATCAGATGATATCACAATTGAATCGCCGAAATCTGTGACCTTCTGTTGGATGCAGAAAACTTTGTTTTCCATATTGTTCATAATTTTTTTTTTAACCAATGTTGTTTGGCAGCCAATATGCCATGAAATACGATGAACAATTGATTGAGTTTTAAATTGGGGGCCCGGTGGGGGGCAGAGGGTGGAAATCCATGCCCCCCTTTTTCTTTAGTTTCTTTGTCTGAAGGCCCTTGGGTGTGCATTTTGGTCTGAAATTTTATCTTTAACATGAATTTGTGTAATCTATTTAATAGAAACATTAGATTTAGGAAAACATTCCAGATTTCACAGATTTTTGAGATTGAAAATTTTGCCTAGGGTTTGCCTGATTTCGAAAGTTTGTGATTTCTTCACAAGCTTTGGTGGATTTTTTATTAAATTTGATTCCTAAGCCTATTTTGAGTATTTCATTCAACCATAGGCTTGTTTTTCACAAAAAAACGCAAAAAATGAGAGGTTTGAAACTGGCATTTACTATTCGTCCGATTTTTTCAAGAGCTCGAGTCTCCTAGATTCATACTCGAAACCATAAAGTGCTTTGGGAGCCTAGATTTGTGCTGTCTAAGGAAGTTTTGACAAGGATTGGAAGCATCGATTCCCACCAAGCATGAGATTGGCGGATTGACCTCAAATTTTAGGGTTAATTCTCTTTTTTTTTAGTTGGAATTCATATATATATATATATATATATATATGATTCATTTTTTACTAGCATCACTCAATCTAGTGATATTTATGCTAGTATTGCACTTATAAAAAATGAGTAAGATGCTCTTTTTTTTTTTTCAATTTTATTGTACACAAAGACTTTCTTCAAATTTTCATCAAATTATCTGATAATTTCTGCAAGTTGCATCAGGTTCTCATCATTTTCCATGTTCTACATATATTTTATATTGGGCATCATTTTTTTCATTTCTAGTATTCTGTAGGCATTTTTCGTGAGTTTTGATTTTCCCATTTTGGGGGCTTTTTTGGCCCTTTCCATGGCTTGGTCATGACTAGGTAAAAGTCTGTGTCAACTCGCCCAAGTCATATGGTTCTTGAAGGTCCTCAGTACCCTGCTTGAGTCATGTATTCAAACATTGTGCATATCTATTAGTGGGGATGGGAATCGGGTCACACCCACCGATCTGATGGTTAGACTTGACACAAATCCTAGTCTTAGAACCAGAAATGGACATCGGGGATCAGGTCAAGGTCCAGCAAGCCTGTACCGAACATGCTCTTGGTCTGGGACATACCCAGACCCGTTTGGGTTGGGGTCTTCCCAACTCGACCCCAATACATATAGTTGTATTTTGTATTATATTTGTGTTAGGAAACAAATATGGTCAACAGCCTCATGTGGATAAGTTAAATACGCCAACGATCCAGATTGAATCTAGGCCGATTTGAGGATCAGTAGTGTTTGAATTTTAATTTTTTTTTCTACAAATCCGAATCACTTGAAATTTTAGGCGTGTTCTTCAAAAATAGGTGAATCTACAAAAAATATTAAAAAAATATTTTACATTAAAAACATTAACCAAAATACCCCTGCAAAGTTTTAGGGGTATTTTGATCAATTATTTTCATGTAAAATATTTTTATTAGATTAGCCTATTTTTGAAAAATACATGTCTAAAATTTCAAGTGATTTGAATTTGTAGAAAAGAAATTAAAATTTAAACACTACCGGACAATCGTCAGATCAGCCCATATTCAATTTGGGCCGTTGGCGTATTTAGGCTGCTGACTATATCTTTTTCCTTTGTGTAATATGTTATTTTAGATCTAGACTAGGACTCAATCAGGTCAGTCAGGTCTGGGCCAAAGTAAAGTCCTACCTGTTTGCCAGCCTACCTATCTACTATGCTGTGATTTAGGCCTTATAACAATGAAGGTAACCCAATCTCAAACATGTGCGTAGTTGAGCATGTATATATTACTGCATGAAGACATATATATGACCACATGCTGATTCACAGAGGCAGATGCTGATTCTTATCTACATAAATGAACTCGCAATTGGGGTTACCTACTTGTGACCCTCAGCTTCAGGTGTCTTGAGTATATAAGTGTAGATATTAATGATGTATCATGAAAGAAGAGTCTCTGATGACTTCTCTGATAGTTAAGCAAAAACTTTTATTTATTTTTTTAGTTCGACAGTCGCGCAATATTATCATGCCTTGTGATGTTATGGGAAACTCATTGGAGCTTTGTGCATTGGCCACGAAATGCTTCAGCTGCTTTGCAAATTTGTCAGTCGCATACCTGGACTTGATATGCCCTGTGTGACTGCTGGTTTTTGATCCCCCATTTATTTTTTGTTCTTTGGCATGTAGAGGTCATGGTTATTTTTTAGATTATTTGAGGAACTATTGGTTTTTAAAAGCATGGTTTTTACGGATTTAATATCGATCAACGTTGTGATGAGTTTGTGCAAAATATAGAGTTCGACAAATACCTTTGACGTGGTTTTTGAAAGTGCGATTTTATTGTCATACTATTATTATAAGTTGCATGAAATCGCTCCATTTATTAAAGATACGCTCATGACCTAGTCACAATGAGCCTTTCAAGTAGTTCAGCGATAGGAATTGACAAGGGACAGGGACAATGCGTTGCAATCAGCAAACACTAGCGAATCAACCCCAAACCTGATTCCTATTTCATTGCTGTTGAAAATTTAGGCCGACAATGGGTTCCCATCAGCCTCAGCAGTTGCGGGTGCTCCAAATGCCATTGCATCTACTATAATTTACATTCTTACGGTACCGTGCATCGCATCGCTTTCTAAAACACTTCACATGCCAAATATGCCGTCTTTAAATAATGAAAAGTTTTTGGTGAATTTGCTTACTCATGCATCTACTGAGGTCTCCATAGGTTTTAGGACCCAAACATACACTAAATCATTAATAATCCATTAACTAAGATCCATAAATTTAAGCATAACCAAACTTTCTTACTCTTGTAGGGGAAATTAGGTTTGGATTTAGTCCGAGGAGTGAGCAAAAATGTAAACAAAACCAACTTAGGTTGTTTCATGCTTGGAGATAACATGGGTGCAGTATACCGCAATATTTTCATGTTTTTCGAGTGATTATAAACATTAATGAATGATATTCCAAACAACGAGAAAATCAATACCAAACAAGGGCCTGACGAAAAACTTTAAAAAGCGAAATAAAGTAGGATCCTTTTCCAAATAATTGGAACCGCACATTTTAATTGTACGTTTTTTAAAAAAATTATTTATATCTCCGTTATAGTTTCGTCCTTACCAAAATACCAAATAGTTTTCGTTATTAAGCTTCTGTCTTATTTTTCGTTGTCAACAACCGAAAATATGACATTTTCTAATGTTGAACAATTGAAAATAGGATTGCATATTACAAAAGCTTGTTAGAATATGCGGTCCTATTTTCGGTTGTTCAACAACCGAAAATAAAACATTTTAAGTTATTAAACAACCGAAAACAAAACATTTTCGGACGTTGAACCATTGTATATTCCAACAAGTTTATGGAATACGCATTTCTATTTAAAAAAATAAGTCATTTTCGGTAGTTCAACAACTAAAAACAAGACATTTTTGGTTCAACAACCGAAAATAATAATATAAATTTTAAGTTTCCAGCCATTTTTGGTTGTTCAAAAATAGAAAAAAATAAAAAAATATTTTTCTAAAAAATGAAAAAAATGGACATTCGAGTAATAATCCAGTAATAAAGCAATAATAAAAACTATATACGTAATTTTCCAAAAAAAAAAAACACCAGGACACTTTAATATTACCTGATGATAAAGTGTAACTATAAACGCTCTCACTCCTGTCCCTGTCGCCTCGCAAAATTGCGGATACTCCTAACGCTGTTACTTCCGGAGCCTGTAATTTTCTCCTACTTTTGTGTGGGGGGTTCACCCGTTATCTATGTTTCCTGTTCCATGTCCACTGAGCGGTTCGGAAGAGAGAGAAATCGGTTCAGCAAATAGCAGGAGAGAGAGAGAGGGAGATGACTAATGGTGGGAGCACACAGGCATACGGGGAGCCGTGGTATTGGGACAAGAGGTACAAGCAAGATCCAGGTCCCTTTGATTGGTACCAGAAATACCCTGCCCTGGCTCCCATCTTCAACCTCTACCTCAAACACAACCATCGCATTCTCATCACTGGTTGTGGAAACGCAGGTCCTTCCCTTAACCTCTACTCTCCCATTCACGAATTACTCATGTCTTTTGCCTTTTCTTATTTAATCTCTCTTTCTGATTATTTTGCATCGCTCAGGAGATTCTTGACATATCCGAGTGAGATTTGTTGCATCACAGACACCTTAGCATTTTTGTTTGGAAGAAATATTCAGTGTCATTTCTTGTTCTATTTATATTTGGATTTCTATATTATTGTTTGGAATTACAAAGTTAATGGGGGAAAATGAGAAATCTGGGATGTATTATTATTCAAAACTAAGGAAAAACAACGATGTAATTCATAGTCAGTGGCCTTTTGATGAAATTTGAAAGTTAGAAGTTGTTATCTTAACAATTCCTGTGCCAAAGGAAAAGAAAAGCTCAATATATATATATATATATATATGTAAAACAAGAAAGTGTGAGAATACTTTGACAATTCAAGCATGTCTCCTCAGCTATGCATCCAAGGAAGTGTATTCTTTTTGCTTACATCAATGTAATTCATTGCAAAAAGAAAAGCACATTTCCATCATTCATAGCTGTCCACAGGTTCGAGTTCTGATATTAAAATCTGGGAATAACTTGGTTATCTTTATGCCTAAATGAAAATTCTCTCTAGCATATATGGCTTTGTATGATTACATATACCCATTTTTTAAAACATTATTATATCTGTTTTCTTGCAATTGTCAATTCTGTTGATTGTCATCTTTGTTTGGGTGATATTCTCTAGGTTCATCTGTATAGCTATCGAGAATTTATTTTTTCCCTTAAGAATTGGTTGCCTCTTGCTGTTTGTTTACTGAGATACCCATTTCTCGGTGCAGCGCTTGGGGAGGACATGGTCAATGATGGTTACCAGGACATTGTCAACATCGATATATCTTCTGTGGTGATTGAAGCCATGAGAAAGAAGTACAGGAATTGTCCCCAGCTTAAATGTATCCATTTAGAGCTGTTTCTTTCTGATGCTTTGCAATTCGTTTATATTGTGAAAGTTTTAGTTCCATCACAAATTATGCGTGTTCGACTTCCATATTGAGATATTGTGATTCCTGGTCAATTTGCCTTACCGAATTTTGCAGATATGGAAATGGATGTTCGACGTATGAATGATTTTTGTTCTGGCTCTTTTGATTCTGTGATTGATAAAGGTACACCGTTGTATTACATACAATAGTTTTTCATTGGTTACATTCCTCTAGTTCTGTCCTCTTGAGTTCTTGAAATCAGAGGTTAAGAATATTATTCTAATGCAATGTTATCCTTCCATTTTTAGGAATGTTGGATTCCCTAATGGTAAGTAACATCCATTCAGGTACTGTGTATTACTTGAAGAACGTTTGAAAATGTGTTGATCTGCTGTGCTTCTGCAGTGTGGACAGAATTCACAAAATTATGTAAGAATGATGCTGAAGGAGGTTGGGAGGTATTGAAATATCATGAAGCATATGGCTCTCTTGTTTCCTTTTTCTTTCTTTTTTTTGCATACCATTTATTGAAATGGTTTAATCCTAATTATCAGGGTCCTCAAGGATAATGGTGTCTATATTCTGGTATCAACATCTTAATCTCTTGGTACTTCAGTTGCCCATGGACTGCTTTTTCTGCTACTATATCAAGTTATTGCAACATTTTTTATGTATTAACAGCCTGGTTCTTTGAATATACTAAGTTTCTCATAAGAATCCAGGTTACATATGGTGCACCCCGTTACCGACTGTCGCTTCTGAAAGAAATTTGCTTATGGACTGTAAAGCTTCATGTTATAGGTTAGTGAATATTTTTTGAAATATTATGTTCATACATTTATGCTTAGTAGTTCTGCAGTCTTGGGACGGAATAAATTATATCCTGGGTCCGATGTGGATTGCCTTTCGGCAAAATCAATGACAATCTGTACGTTAAATGCACAGAGTATAATGGTTCTCCTTTCAATTTCAAATTCTCCTTAACTTGGGGCATTCTAATTCGTTTAGATATTTGAGCAAGGATTTTATATATCCTAATATAATTTGCTTCAATTGCTGATGACAAACCTTTTGTATTGTTTCCAACTGTTTTGATGATTATTTTTTTTAACAAATATATCTTAGAGATGTGAGATAGATAAATCTCTTTATTTTGTATTGTTTACAACTGTTTTGCTTCTATGCTCTTTATTTATTTATTTATTTATTTTGGGTCCTGCCTAGCATATCTGTTGTTGAACTTTATGCCTCAAAACTACCAACATTTGTTCCCTTTTTCGTTTGTCCTAATGGATGAGAGAAGAACATCAGCTCATCATGCAATGGATACCTCTGTTTTTTTTTTTTGAGAATGTTAACTGTTAGATATATAAGTAAAAAAGTACAAAGAGATGAAGAAGAGAGAGAAGGGGGAAGAGTGGCTATCTGTACGTGGATAGCTCAGAGTACATTAAGCCCTTCTGGGGAGGGGGCAGGGGGGAGGGGGGAGGGGGGGGAGAAGAGTGGCTATCCGCATGTGGGTAGCTCAGAGTACATTGAGCCCTTCTACATTGGTCCGCTGCCTGGTTTGAATACCTCCATATATGCTTCCATGAGATGCGCGTACCCCTGCAACAGTGGTAAATCTCATAAAAAATGTGACCTATAACCCAAGGAGGGGGGGAGGAGTTGTTGGCCCAAGCAATTACATTCATGGAGTCTCCCTCGATGGTCACTGATTCGATACTGTGGAGATGAAAGAGTATGAGTCCCTCAAGGAACTCTGTGGCCTGCCTCCATAGAGTCAGTATGCTCAATAAATTTTGATAGAGCAGTGATAGTAGTTCTCGTGTGGTCCTTGAGGATTGCCCCAACCCCGGCAGGCCCTGGGTTCCCCAAGGAACACCCGTTGAATGGATGCCTCTGTTGTTGGGGCCACTCATGCTTAATTTCAATAGTTATATGCTTTCTTTATATCCATCTTACATACAAATGCAGGTCTCTCCCTCTATGCTTTCTCCATATCCCCTGTACATATGGTTTTGTGCCTATCCTCCCTCTCAACATAATCTATGCCATCAAGCAATCAAGGTCCCAACCAAAATCTGCCCACGCCTTACAAAGATGCCTTGGTATGGGGAAGATAATAGACACAACATCCTTTTGGTTGCATTATCTTCATCATCATCAGAGTCTTTTCCCAACTATTTGGGGTTGGTACACAAATCATGATCTGCCATTCTGTTCTACCAAGGGTCATACCCTCAGTGAGGCCATAAGTCCCTATATTTTTTCGCACTACTTCCAACTATGTCTTCTTAGGCCTACCACTTGAACAACTTGCACCTCCTAATAGGTGTTGTACTAGGTCTGTGCTGCACATGGCCAACCCACCTAGGTCTACTTTCTCTCATATTATTGCCTATTGGAGCCACACCTAAGTTCTCCCTAATGTACCCATTTCAGATTTTATACATTATTTTTTTGCCACTTATCCATTTCAACATCCTCATCTCAACTATACTCAATCTATGGGTATGTTGTTTCTTGACTGCCCAACATTCTGCCCCATGAGGCAAAGTTAGTCTCACAGTTGTTGTATAGAACTTCCCCCTCAGCTTCATTAGTATGCGACGATCACATAAAACTCCAGTTGCATATCTTCACTTTGTGCATCTAGTTCTAATTCTATGTGCGACATCTTCCTCAATCTCTTCATTTGCATGTCTACATGAATAAACCATTTGGAACGACAATATAAAAGAAAACCTACCGACTAACGAATCTAAAGGTCATAAATATTTGTTGCTTAAGCTATTTTGTGGGCAAGGATCATGCAGGTCAGCCTAACCCCTTGGTATTCTTTGACCCGCTATGAAACTCCTCAAAGACCCATGAGAGCCTTCTCTATCTCCTTTGATGCTCATAGCTAGAAAGTCAATTAAAGGCATCAGGATAGGATGATCTATTTGCCTAAGCTGAATATTGCTTTTTGTACCTATTTGCCTTTGAAATTTCTCATTAACCATCCAATTGAGTCATGGATAAAGACTCTCCATACATTCCCAAGCATGGATGCCTTCATTGGTCCTTTGCATACAACCCCTTGGAGAAGCCCTTTTTTACTTTACTTGGGCATCTCTTTCCGAGTGTACCTGCCCTTGGGGATCGGGTGGCATTCATACTGCATCTTGCATTTGTCATTGTATGGAGGAAGTTGGTCTCCAGTCCATAAGTTGTATTATATTGTTATGGATTATGTAATTGTTCCTATTCTATTCATCATAGGACTAAGTGGGCTTGTCTTAACTGTATGCTTATGGTGAAGGGCATTTTGGTATTTCCTCTTGCACCTATATGCATGTTATGTATTGATCTTCTTGTTAATTTATACTTTGTATATAACTCAACTAATTTACACCTTTACACATCAAGTAGCCTGTGTGGGGAGCAAAATGTTGCAAGTCCACATGGTCATAGCGTGGTTGAGTTCTGTTTAAAAGTTAGTGCATATTCTCCTTTCAAGTTACAGTAACCTCTGTTCGTTCTAGATGGATAAATGTTCTATCATTAATTGGTAACTTTCTCATTAATGAACTGCAATTAAAAGGTTCAGATTGGTTTTGGTTACTATATATGTGTATAGTTTGTAGTCTATAGCAGTAACCTCTGTTCGTTCTAGATGGATAAAAGGTTCAGATTGGTTTTGGTTACTATATATGTGTATAGTTTGTAGTCTATGGTTTTGGTTACTATATATGTGTATAGTTTTTCTACAATTTTATGCAGAAAAACCATTTCAAAAAATTTTTTTTTGCAGAAAAACCTGGGCATGGAAAATTCTCTGAGCATCCAACCGGGGAAAGTAGCAAAACCGTTCCGCTAAATGATGATGGTAGCTCGGCTACTGATATACTGGGAGAAAATCCAGATGTCCATTATGTGTTTATCTGTGTTAAGGTTAGTGTAATTGTTTTCCTTTTTTCTACTTTTCTTTTTTTGATTTCTTCTAGTCTTCTAATATAATCTGTGTTCAGGACAAATTTGCGACACACGAGAAGGAGATCTACTCTTCCTGATGAAGCATCATTAAGGTTTGAAACCTTGTCTTGTAGTTTGTTGTGAGCCTAACTCATAGCATTCATATTTTATTCTTGAGAACCAAGGCAAAACGAGAAATGAAGTGCTTTGAAGGAAAAAGGATTAGAGTCTATCTGAAGAGAGTTTCCTTCTGCCTACTTGAGGATTGGATTTCCAATTTGATATTTGTATTCTAAGAGTTTTAAGGCTGGGCATTGGATCTTTGCAACCATCAACTAATTGAAAGCAGTGAAAAGAAACAGGTTGACCTCTACATTGCGAGACTAGATTTCCTATTTCGTTACAGCCAATTGAATCTTCTTACCTCTTTCACTAAGTATACCTGCATAGCATTTAGAATTGGCCTTTCCCATTAGAAATCAATTAGTTCCAGCCGGCTTTTGCCTGCTTATAATCAATCACATAGGCAGTTTTTGAAAGAATATTGTCTAGGGTGAGCTTTCCATGGGTCTCAATGTACATAAACTTATATGTTTATTTGGGACTGGCAGCACGTTTAGTCTTGATCTGATTAAACAATTAGATGGCTACTACTGAACCATGAACATTGTAACACATTAATTATGGTCTAACAAGAAAGCTAGTTGATATATTTTTGTAAGCTCGTCGACAACTGTCTAATTAAGATCGTATGTCGAATGGTTCCAAATCACATTCAAATTGTACTTTTAACGGGACTGACTAATAACTTAGTTGCAAGCAGGAATTGGGCTTGGGTTGGAGTGGTTAACCGTTTGACATTTAGCAATACTACATGTCAAGTTCGATTCCTAGTGCTGAGCTACCCCAAAAAATATTATTTGCAAGCACAAATCGACCCAAATGAAATAGAGAGTAATCCACTATTTGCAATAATGACTTGATAATCTTTGGAACACAAATTAATTCATTTTGCGTGTCTTTCATAAAGAAGGAATTCCATATGCTAACGGCTGTGCTATATGCCACCGTAGAGGGATCGAAAGGGTCCATATAAGGATGCTATCTTAAATTGTAGAATTAAGGTGAACCGAAAAATCTATCGGAAACGGTTTTTTTATGTTGAAAAAATGTTCTAATTGATCATTTTTTACATTAAGATGTATTGGGGGATGAGATTTTGAGCAAAAAATAGTGTATCTTACTACATATTATTTGGACCGTCTATTTTCAAGGTTTTCATGTGTTTATAGATTTATTTAATTTGAAGTACTTTTGGAATTTAAATTCATCCGGCCACCTTAATAATTTTTTACACCAAAATTACATCTCATGATAAAATTTGGAGGTGTGCTTTAGTTTGATTGTTTAAGATTGCAACCTTATGCAAATCAAATAATATGTTAGGATGCAACATCTATTTCCTATATAATAATATATGTTAGGATGGAACGCTTCATCTCAAATCCTCGTCGGGCATAAAAAATATTAATAATGGCTCTAAAATCAATTTTCAACACTGATTATGAAATTTGGAACTAAAAAATTAGTACAAATCTTGGAGATTCTTGAGCACTTATTTTAAGGGTGAATTGGACGGTCTAGATGATGTGTTATAATATACACTAAATTTAGGATTCGAAATCCTAATTTTTTTCACAACAGCTTGAGATGATTGATTTTATTGGTATTTTTGGCGCCAGAACTGTAATTGAGGTGTGCGTTGCAGCCCCATCAAAACCTTTTTGTAGTGAGTATTGATTGACGATCTATTGACTAATCTGTGAGGTCCTCGCACATAGAATACAGATAAATTTAACAAAATACGTGGAAGAGATGGATTGTTATACATTTTAATTATTTTTATTTAATTTTAAAAGGCTTGCCAAAATACGTGTCACCGTGAATAGATTAAAATTGGGTAAAATGTTAAATAATTAATAAATTTAGTGCGTTTTGAAAATTTTCCCTAGAATATAAGGAAAAGCTTTTTATTAAGCTATTGCGACCCGCAAATGATTAAAAGGGAAAAGAAAATACATCAAAATATACATAACTTTCCAATAATTTAACAATTTACCCTTTTTTAACAATTCAAACTCATGGTTACGTGTATTTCGATAGGTATTATGAAATCAAATAAAAAGACATTGATAAAATGTTAAATAGTTAATCTTTTATATGCATTTTGATAAATCTTCCCTAAACCAACACTTAACTAGAGGGAAAAAAAAACTCAGACATCTTCTCTAACTAGGAGTAGAAAGCGTGATTTTAATTTAAAAGTAAAGTGTACACAAGAGCGTTATTTACCACTGGTGCAAAATGCTCATGATCACCCTTAATCTTGATATGTAAACTTGGGTGGACACCGGTGTTGCCATTGACTCGCACAAATTCCAATATATCTCAATTTAGGGAAGTGTTTTGATAAAATTGCAGCCCTGTCAAAATGAGTAATGGAAAGTTGTTCCATGAGAATTGGACTAAATTCCTACATACGCGGTCTAGAAAATGTAAAGCATCCCTCTTAACGATAGATGATGCACGTAGGTGTTCCATTTAAAAACAATGGAAACTAATCGTTTAAATATTTTTTTACTAAAATTATTATTTTTAATTTATTTTATTTATTTTTCATAATCATGATCTCCATGTTAAAGATTACATGTCCTTAAAAATTAAGTATTAAAATCCATCTCAAAAATAGATTTACTAAGAGGCCTGCATTTCTACATATACGGCCTTGGCCGCATAGAAACTGGGTCCATAAGTAAATCCTCACCTCAAAAATAACTGAAAGTTGGAGTTATGGTGTCAAAAAACCTTCAAATTTATCATCTCGGTCTTGAACATGTGGGTGCGGGAAAAAACTAGGATTTTAAGGGCAATAAATAGTGTATATTGTAGCACATTATTTAAACCGTCATTTCACCCATCAATTGAACATATGATGACCTCAGTTATCAGTGACTTTATTGTATGAAAGCTAATGATCTTCATAAAAATTGGAATCATGCACCATATGGTGGTGGTGTACCATGTATGACAAATCAGGTGGATGATAAATTAATGGGATTGTTTATAAAGAGGTCATTTATCTTTAGTATATAAAGGTCGCAATCATTATTGTTTTAAAATTTTAAAATGGGTGATTGTAAGAATTTTATTGAATAAACACAACGTTCCCAATAAATTTTTTTGTCGAACTTCGTGACTCACCACCAAGCCATATATATATATATATATAATCCCAAAAAATAATGGCTTTGTTTGTAATGTGTTTTTGAATGTTTTTTTTTATCATTTTGAAAGAGTTTGGAAAGTGTTTTGACTATGAATACTTATTTTTATTTTTTTGAAATTTTTTTGAAATTTTTTAAAAATACCCCTAGACACAAATCGATTTTTTAAAATCTATTTTTTTATTACTTTTCAACTTCATTTGAATATGTTTTGTTTAGTCATGCTTTAAATATATTTTTCATATGTTTCAAATTTTTTTGTATTTTTTCTTTTTTTAAGACTATTTGACCGCTTGGGACCTATCCTGTTAAACCGGTTGAACCAGCTGATTTACTGGTTACTCCGACCTAGCCCTTAACCGGTTTCCAAGTCCAGTTCAATTTTTCGATCACTGTTTCAAACTCAAAATTTCCTGGTTTGCTAATACCACGATAATGACCATTAATATGATTTTTTTTTTCTAAGAAGTTTTTTTTTTATTTTATTTTCTACCAACCATATCAACTTTTAGTAGAAGTACATGTACCATTTGTTGACGTCAGTGTTTTAAAAATCAGAGAGTCAAATCGGACTCGCCCCGGTTCGACTCGGGAACCGGCACAGCTCGTGCCGGTTTCAATACAAAACCGGGAACCGCCCGGTTCTAGAGAAGAATCGCCGGTTCCAATTCGGTTAAGCCCGGTTCCCACCTTGCACGCGTGCGACAAGCACGTGCACGCGTTCGACACGCACGTGCACGCGTTCGACACGCACGTGCACGCGTTCGACACGCACGTGCACGCGTTCGACACGTGTGAGGTTACCCTAATATTTCTACACAAACATTTTAATTTATATTACATAGGTATTTATATACCAAACTGGAATACCCATTTTTTGATGTGGGATAATTCTCAAACATCATTAAATGAAAAGGGAATTTAAATATATTCTATTAATCATCAAGTTATAACCACATATGGTGAGGTGGCGTGGCAGTTAAGACCTTTGCTTTTTTATGTGACCTCTCAAGGTCGAGTCCCCCCATGGGAGTTATTTTTTTTGTGTTGTATAGTTTTTGTTGTATATATTGTATAAATATTTTTGTAAATAATATAAAAAGCATAAAAAAATGAAAAATAAAAAAGTTAATTTTTTGTATAGCAGTTAATTTTTGTTGTATATATTGGTATAATTTTTTTTTTAAATAATATGAAAGGCATAAAAAAATAAAACATAAAAAATTTATTCTATTTGAAATCTCCATCTTTCTACTAACAATCTCTTTCACTAAATTTATTATAGAAACCTAAAAAAATAAATTTTTGAAAAATTGAAGTGTTATTTTCAAAATTTGTACGCATTTTATTAATTTTTACATTGATAACTAAATATTTTATTTTATTTATTAATTTTTACATTATAAATGATGTAATGTATTATTTTTCTTACAGTTGTCAATAATACATTTTAAATTACATAATATTATAAAATATTTTTAATTTGTTATTATTTGTCTAATAAAATAATTATAAAATGTAAACTAGTAATTATAATTTCAGTATATAATATTATAATTAGTTAGGTTTTAATAATTTTGGATTATAGTTAGTTAGGCTGTAATAATTTGGATTTTTTTAGCGGATTAGGGTTTTTCGCCAAAACGAGATTTTAATGGCCATTCTTTCATTGATTAGTCTACTCTTTATAATAGTCCATGTATAATTATATATTTTATCTATGATAATTCTATGCTTTTTCTTTTATGTGATGCAAATTTAATGGTTAACATATGTTTATACAGGGAAAGAACATCTCAATATTCACAAATTGATGAAAAAAATGAAAATTAATAATGTAGTACCTTCATTTCTTATTGGATTCCTAAAAAAAAAAATTTATAATGATTTTTAATAATTTATTCGGATTTTTTTAAAGCTTTAATTTGATCAATTCAGTCGATTCTCGATTCGAATCGCCGATTCGGATCGATTTTTTAGATGCTCGATCTGAATCACTTATCTGCTTTTTAAACCAGTGGTTGACGTCCATCTTAATTTCGATGCATGAGGAGCCGTACGAAGCTGGGTAAGCGGGCTGACTCACCAAAATCGTGTCCATGGTAAGGTGTAACACAGGGGCCATTTGGAGTCCTAGTGGCAACTGGCATCCATGTAAAGGCAGACAAAATGGTGCTCAATCGTCGATCATGGGACCATGTCATTAATTCCAGCCTTTGTTGATGGAGATGGATGGTGGATGTCCATGCGGGGCACCTAATGTTTCCTATAAGCGTGTGCAAGTGAGCTCAATGAAAATGAAACTAGTCAAACGACACATTTACCAGCGGGTTCTGTACGGGCCCCGTCAGCATGACCACCCTACTACTGGGTTAGGTTCGAATCGAACGTGTCGACTGATGATAATATTTTTTTGTGCTCCCGCGTGAGCAAAATGTACGTTAGCTTCCCCGCATGTAAAACCGTAGTTAAGAGTATTTTAGGGCGAACTTCCTCGATCTAGAGATGAAACTAAAAACCGGAGTTGCGTATGCCCTTTGAAAAGTGCCTGAAACAAAATCAGGCTCTATGATTGAACACAATTATCCAATTATTTGTTCGTCGCATGACAAATTTTTAATATTACAGCTCAAAACCTTTAATTTCCTGACAGAATTACTTGTTGATTCTGAAGTGGATCGCGAAACTTCAGATCACAAAATCCTTTTTTAAGTGGGTTCTTCTGCCTGAGGAAGCAGATGTGCAATTAGCTCCCATGGGAGCATGGTACACTCTCTACATTTATGGTATTATTGAATGCAAATATGTTGGGTTGTCAAGGAATCATGCATGCCATGTATCTCTTTCTTGGCCGAGGTGGACAAAGCAGTACCGCTCATTCATTATATAAAAACATAGAAAATTGAGAGTAGACATTTTTAATTCAAAGGCATTATCAAGTCAAAGTCAAATCACAGTGTTTCAAATTCGTTTTACTTCGGCAGGTTGAAGTCTTCTGATTTTAGGCTTAGAGAGAGAGAAAAAAATATTTATATTAAATTTTTTTAAAAAATTTATTTTTATTTTTTTATATTATTATTATATATATAAATATCCAATTTATTTATATTAAATTAAAAAAATACGAGGTCTTCCTCTGAAATGGCCGAAACACTGAATTTTTTTCATTTTTCTCATCCAACCGAATAAGGATCCAAAGCGAATGTGACATAATTGTGTCAAACAACGGTAGTACCGTGCGATGGTGCAAAATAGGAACTTGCTTTGCTTGTTCGTATTGTCAATCGGGCTAATTCTCCGATGTGAGAATCGATCCCAAAAAAAATATGTTATCGAAATATCCACTATTCAACATTTTATCAATTTACCAGTATTCCAAGTCACATTCATGGTCTTTTAAATCAAAATACAAGGGTCGCATATTACTCATCTCACATCGATATTTGAATAAATTTTCAAAAAAATAAATATTTTGAAATTAAAATAATAAAAAAGGTAGAACCGGCCTAGTTGGATGGCATGGCTCCCTGGCAAAACTGTAATATTACCTGTAAAACTAATCGATTCCCAATTCCATCAAAAGACTATGTCAGTCTCCACAAGTTCTTGATCCAGATCGGCAATTTCCAATTCATGTCGTAGATTTTTTTGAAAACTGGTGTTGAGCTTCTCGATTTTGGAATGAACAGAGTTTTGCATTATTTTTGTGCTAAAGAAGTCACATATCCGCAAAGGTCCTCTTTTAGGTCTGTGTTTTACCTCATCACTGAAAGGCTTGCCTTGTGAGGGTAACTTATTGGTGTTTGCCAGTGTTTGATTGCATGAACCGGGCATGGGCGGGTTCCGGGTAATTGGCCCGAGTTGGGCCGGTCTCCGACGGGCAAAAAGAGGGTTAGAAAAAAATTTAAAATATAAAAAAAGTCTCAACAAAATTAGGAAAAGTATGTTTAAAGTATAATTAAACAAGACACTTCCAAATAAAATTAAAAAGTAGTGAAAAAATGGATTTTAAAAAATATATTTGTTTGCTCAGTGGTATTTTCAAAATAATCTAAAAAATAAAAAAATTAAATATTTACTTCCCAGTATTTTATAAAACAATAGAAAATATTGAAAAAACTATTACGAACCATTTTTTTAATTATATTTTCTAATTTTGTTTTTTTTTTTAAGTCAGGGTGGTCTAACTAATTGGCAACCCTAACCGGCCAAAACCCACAGCCAGTGGCTGGTTCTAGATAACCCAGCCAGTCAACTGCCGGGTCCGAGTCAGTCTGGCTAGTTTTGCAAACACTAGTGTGTGCAAACCTTCAAGAATATTACCTTTATTCTTTCACTCTGCTATATTGTTTAGTATATTCAAAATAGCATTATCTTTTGTGGAAGTTTATTCAAAACAACATTAGTATTTTAGTTGTTTGATTGTTACCAGACCACTATTATGAACAAAAAATAATAATAATTGATATCTATGTTTCATCAACATAAGGTCACATCCTCTGCGTTAACGCAAAAAATAAATAAAAAATCAATGTTTCATTCTAATGCTTTTAATATAAACTCGATATTATATGATAGAATATTATATTGATTGGTCTTTATGATTGCAACGGTATCTTAAACCCTTAAATGTGTGAAAATAAAGTTTTAAAAGGCTCCTTTCGTGGATAGGAATAATATTGAGATAATGTTGTGTTTTCCATGGCGTGACTGATTTTAGGTGTGCCCCATATGTCGAGACTGGGTCCCCTGTGTAGTGAGGGTAGAGAGCTCTTCATCGTAATCAAAAGCCGGGGAATCTGCTTTCCGACAGCCTAGTTCGGATCCGCGAACATCGATGATTGTGTATTCTCTGTTGTGAAAATCAGTCTATAATAATTCCTATCTGAAAATACAAAATTACAAAATAAAATAAAATATGAGGGATCTAGACGATTCGGTGGATCTGGATCGCCTATTCCTTGATACACACAATTCTTTGGGTCGATTCCCAATCCCGACTAGGAACCATGTCAATTCCTACTGATTTCTGATCTGAAGCTGCAAGATTTGAATCAACGATCCTAACCATTAATTTGAAGGTGGGTTTGAGTTCTTGTGGCCTTCCCCCTCATATAAAGTTCTATGTCTTAGATCTCAGCACATTTTAATTGTCTCATTCTAAATAACAAGGCGGGCCTGGCCACCATCCCTCCCACCTTGAACACCATCCACGCCTTTAGTAACAATCAAAAGATATATTCCTAAGATAAGTCCATAAATTATTGGCATTTTTGTTATCTGTGACCCACAACCCCCCCCCCCCCCCCCACGCATAGCCCATGTATATTAAACCTATATATCAAAGCAGTGCTACAATGTCTCTTTTTTTTGCCTCAGTACTGAAAGTGTAGCTCATATTCTCTTTCCTCCCTGGAAAATAACAGGAGAAAAACCTTATTTCCCTTAGCATTAAAAATGCAGCTCATAAATATATAAATTTTTGTATAAATCTATTTGACCTTCAATTTTGTGAGCATGTACAATTTACCAAAGGGAAACCAACAAAATGAGAAAAAAGTATAAAAATTTCAAAATGATGAAATAGCTGCCCAATAATATTTTGATGTTTTATTGGTTAGTTTTGTTGCGACGCATGTGCATCCAAAATTTCAAATCCATTGGGTCAAGCCGCTTCACCTATTGTTAGATCAACCTCGATTCACTCTCAGCTATTTAATCAATATTGTTCGCTCGGCTCAACACTCTTTGATGTTGTCATAGGTACATATATGAGGCATGCTTTATATATAGTATCAATATTAAACAATCAAAGTAAGACACACCTCCATACTCTATTAGAACACATAATCCCTAGTACCAGTTATTAGGAGATGCAGTCCCTAGTACCAGAAAAACCTGAAAATTTATTTTCATTCATCATTGTAAAATTTGTAGCTCAATGATACATATCATGTAGATACTTAAAAGCATTATAATCTATAAAATAGATAATTCGTATGATATCTTACAAAAAAAAATTATATTCATATATATATATATATATATATACACAATTGATGTAACACTGAGCCATGAGATTCAAAAAAGCGCACCACAAGTTGGCAGTCGCCTATTTTCAGCACGTCCAAACAACAAATATATTTTTGGCATTTTGGTTCCATTTCCAAAGGAAGATCCATTCATGGATTCGCAACCTTGATTAAAAAAAAAATAAATATTTTTTTTGAAAAAATAACCAAATGGGCGACTAAAATGACTAAAATACCCTCCAGGCACGTGAATCCAGGCGCAGGCCTTGGCAGCCAAGCAAGCAACACCACACGCGCAAGCGGTGAGTCGTCGTGCGAGGCCGAGGCCCTGAGTCTTGACCCCCTCTACACCTTTTCTCTCTCTCCATCCCCTCTCGATGCTCGACTTTGCCATCATGTCACTTTCTCCTTTCTCCTCATTTAATACATACATTTTTTTTCTATTATTCTTAATATTATGTATGGGCTGGTATTAAAACTGTGAGCTCCCAATCGGGGTGCCCTTTTCTTTTTTGGACTTTCTGATTCGTGTTTTTGCGTGGTTTTTTTTGGGAGATTGAATATTGAGCAGCGCATGAGAAGGGGTTTTTTAGTTGGCAGTTTCCCTCGCGCATGGCTGATAGCAGAAGATATGCGTTGTTCTCTCCACAATTAGGTTGGTATTTTTGTCTGTGTTATTGTTTCATAAGAGAATCTATGCAATCCAATAAGAATAGTTTATGTGGCATTGTTCGGAAATCAGACTGGAAATGGTTTCAGGACATGATGAACTTTTTTGCCCATCTTATTGTTTCATTTTCATGAGAATGTATGCAATTGAAGAGGAATAGTTTATGAGATAATTGTTCAGCAAGCAGAATGGAAATGGAATTAGGGCATGACGAATTTTTTTGTATGTTTTCTTACTCACTTCTGTCTGAAACAATATTAGAGATGACTATGTTGGATATTTGGGAGCGTTAACATGTGGTTGCTATTCTTGTGCCTGTTCATTTTACTGTTGTCAAAGTATGAATTCAAATTGAGTTGGCAAAGGGATACATGGATTGAGAGCTTTTGGATGGAGGTTTTGCGCTATAGGCCAGACGTGAAGAATAAGCAATGGTCACTAGAAGTTGTTGCACCGCACCGTCTTGGAAGGATTTCAAAGCCCTTTTGAATTTGATAAGGTTTAAAACAGTTACCACGTGGCCCGTTTGAGAAACATGGTTCCGCCTTTAACTTGAACCATTGAATAGAAAACGAAAGATTTTACAATTTATTGCACTAGCCCAATACTGGGCATGAAGATTGTTAGGAGATTCATTCTTCTGTATTGTTCGTCTTTGCTTGCTTGCTTGCTTGTCTATGTTTCTATTTTTCTTTATTTTAGTGGAAATGGCAATGGATGATGGTTAGGAGGTATGCTCCTTTTGGCATGGTGAATTCTTATAGTATAAGTTCAATTAAGTTCATCTCTGATGCCAAGTTCTTTTGAATTTTAAGGGGATTCTCCTATACGAGGATGGCCTTAAGTTGCAAGTTGAATATTTTTAGAATTAGTGTAGTGGAAACCAACCCCTCCTCCCCTGTCCCCCTTCTCTTTCTCTTTATGCTGGACTGATGGGTCGAAGACATGCTCTGAGAAATTTTAGCTTAGTATTTATTTGGTCGCTACTTCTTTGATGGACTTCCATTATTGTTATTCTGCTAATATTGCATAGGTTAATGTCTGGGTTGGAGGATAGCTTTATCTAAACTAATGAACTAAGTCTGCAGGCAAAAGCTAAAGGTAATAAGATTGAAGATAGTAGAAATGAAGTTCCTTTGGATCTTGTGAACTTAAGAGTCTTAGGAATACCCCCATCATGTCCTTCATTGAACAAACCCCATTTCCTTTGAATGCTCAAGTGTATTACCTGCTCAAATAAGACTTGTCTTTTATTTATTATGTAAATAAAAAAAATTCCTTAGTGCTTTTTTGAGGTCCATTGATGGACAAGATAAACTGTATCTAATTTGTTTGACTAGAGGTTGGCCACATGTGGTTTGGTAGAACATGATTGGTGGTTTGGCTATGTTTTTGAGAAATATGATTTAATTTATTCTCACATGTACATTATTCTTATAATTGTTCTCGCAAATAAATAATGGGTTTCAATATCTCTCTCTCTCTATCTCCCCTCGCCCCCAAAAAAAAAAGGTCTTCCGTCTTCCCAATTGCTCTCCATTCACTCCAAGCTCGTTAAACCCAACAATAACAACCACCACCAACCTTTCACACCTTCCCCCCACTGGATCTTTTGGTCGAAACCACCATCGCACTCCAAACAAAGACTGCTCAACAGAAGTAGCATCCCACCATAATCAACCTCCTACTTGCTTTCGATATCTTGAGTAGATAATTCAGGAAGTAGTTAAGATTGACGAGGAAGTGGTTAAGATTGATGGCCGAAAAATACAAAAAGAGGGAGCTTTCGTTATCTTGAGTAGATAATCTAGAAAAATTGAGAGATTGAGAAAGATGTCGCACAGAAAATTAGAGTTAGGGTGGGCAAAGTGGAGATGTGCAACTGGAGTTTTATTTGATCTCCACATGCCAATGAAGCTGAAGGGGAAGTTCTCCAGGACAGTTGTGAGACCAGCTTTGCTTAGGATAAGTGTAGCTGAGATGAGGATGTTGAGATGGATAAGCTGCAAGACAAAAAAGGATAAATGGAAATGAATATATTTGGGAGAACTTAGGTGTGACTCTAGTAGGTGATAAGATGAGAGAAAATAGACTTAGGTGGGTTGGCTATGTGCAGCGCAAATGCGAGTCGAGTTCACATGGAAGGCTCAAAAAGGGCAAGGTGTAAGCCCAAAAGAACATGGTTGGAAGTAGTGAGAAAAAATATGGGGACTTTATGGCCTCACTAAGGGCATGTTTGATAACAAGAAGTTGCTTCCTGGAAGTTGGAACTTACTTATTACAGTTTATCTTCTGTGTTTGATAAAAAAATGGAAGATTAGTATGGAACTTCGGTTTACTGTTCATGTTCCCATCTTTAAGTGTAAAAAAAGTTCCAACCAAAAGGTCGGAACTTGAAATTGGAAGTTTTATAAAACTTCACTCGCGATGTTGCACACCCTAAACAGGTTCGTCTTCATCTTCTGTACTTTGCAATCAGCTGCTGAGCTACCCCTTTCTTCGCACCACGCCGCTCAGCCAGACCCTCTCTGCTCTCTAGGTTTACTCATCGGTATTGTTTCTCTCTCTAAACATATCTCCGCAGCAAATATACCCTCCAATCTCTCATCCTCCAAACTTGTAGCTTTTCTATCTCTCTCTAAATTTCTCTTCTCTATGTGAAATCTGTCCCTATGATTCTCTCAAGTTTCTAAAGGGGTTGATCGCTGCTCTGCAGATAAAGGCCTCTCTCTCTCTCTATTCTTTTGGGAGCAGTGATGTGTTTTCTTTGTTCATTTGTCACCTGTTGATTCAGCAGCTGCGGCAAAAAGGGTATGAACATCGATCTCATCATCTGCCCCTTTTCTCTGTGTAACACCCCTTCTCTCTCTCTCTAAGGACTTTTACCCTTTCTTATAGAAAAAGTGGATGCCCAAAAACGCGGATTACGCATTCACCATTTTCAATTCAACTGATTGCAGTAACTCGGTTCTACCCCTTTTCTCTGTGTGATCGTTAGGACATTGTATGTCTCATTTTTTGGGGGTAATTTGGTTGGGTTCTAATGGAATGTGGTGGTGTTGGTGAAGAAGAAGTAAAGAAGAGTAGTGTTGCAGGGGATGCATCTTCTTCTCTCTCTTCTCTGCTGCCACAGAATTGGCAGGCCCACCACCAAAATGCCGTTTCTCTCTCTTCACCCATCAACCATCCCCAAGGTGAATCCTTTCTTCTTCTTTTTTTATTTTTTTTTATTTTTTCCTTCTCTTTGGATCATATCTTTTCGCCCGATGATAATTGGAATGCTCCTGCAATCTTTGTTTGAAAACTGAATTGGATATCCTTTTGCCCCATGATAATTTTTCCATTATTTGGTGTTGCATGGTTAAATTATGAGAATTTGCTTGTTTCACATTGTTTACTCATTATATTAAAAGATTTTCTCAAACGAAACATCAACCCTTCTGATTTTCCACTCTTAAATTTGTAGATAAAGCTCTTAGAGCACGGTTTGCATGCTTATATTGCAATAGCATGTCCCATTCTTTGCTTTTTTTTCTTGGTTTGCTAAAAATCAATTTGGTTCAGTCTTATATTTTGAGGTAAGCAGTTATTGATTCATGAAGAATTTGCTAGGCTGTGACTTATATTGAAAATAGATTATCTATGTTTTCTTACATATTTGAAACTTCTTGTAGAGAGTGGCTTGCATGCTTCTCTTGGCATGGTCTGGTTCATTGCATTTTTATTTAATCAGATTTAATTTCAGTTTCACATTTCCGATGTAGAGTTATTAATGGAAGATTTGTTAGACTATGATTTGGATTGAAATATATACCTATGCTTCAAATAAAAAATGCAAAATTTTAAATTTAAGAATATATAAATCATGAAATAAGCATGGATTGTACAAATTGATTATTGGTTGATTTATGGAAAGTGGGTATCTCTTTCTTAACTTCCCAGGAGGTTATCAAATACATAAACCAGGAACTTCTTAACTTCCCAGGGAGGTTATTAAACACAGAAACCAGGAACTTCTTAAGTAACTTCTAATTTACAGTTCATGAGGAACTTCCAATTTACACAGTTCATGAACTTGCTTCCAGTTATCGAACAGGCCCTAAGTGTATGATACTTGATAAAGCATAATGGTGTACCGGGTTTTGTGTAGCCGACCCCCAATAGTTGGGAAAAGGATCTAATAATGATGAGGAGTGATTTCATCCAACAATTGTATGGTAATATAATGAAACTATCATAAAAAAATTTTTTAGGGCCATTTATTTTACTTCAAATTTTAATATACACTCTTTTGATTCCAATGACCAATTAAAAAAAAAGAAAAAATTAAAAATCACGACCTAGAAATTTAGCCCAATTGACGTAGGCCATCCATTTTGGGAAGATGCTTAGATCTAGGCCTTAGAAGGACTTTTTCCCTTACCAAATTTTTTAAATGGCTTTACTATCATTCATCTCAAAAATGTCTGGGTCGAAAATTAAGTTTCAAATTAGTGGATGCTGCCAAAGGGAATGGGATGCCATATGCAAAAAGGAAGGGACTCATATAATGGCAGAGGCCAATACAGCTTTTACACATTTTCATTAATCCATGAACAATAATCTATATAGACAAATAGATCCATGGGTCCATTCATCTTGATTAGAATAGAATCGATCGAAAAAGAAAGAATCGGAATTGATCGATATGTTTCTTGAAACAATAAAACAGAGGGTGAGGTTTGTATAAGGTTGCCTCCTTATACTGTAGAAGTCAGGTGCACCTATCAGATTTACTTATAGATGTCGTTTCGGCATCGAAATCTTATGATGGCTTCAAAATCTCTTTTTATCTTCAGTTAGAAAATTAAAAATTAAAAAAATGGTACAGATCAAGCAGATCAATAAACATTTAAAAATCTTGAAAACAGACGGTCCATATGGCTTTTTACAAGATGTACTATTTTTTGAACTTAGAATTCGTTTTTTTCTTCATGTCCATTCATCTCAAGGTTGAGATGATCAGTTGGAGGGCTCTCCTATGTGAAAACACTCTCCACAGTAGGATTTTTGAGATGCACCTTTCCTCAACAGTATAAGGTTGCAACAACCTTATAGAAACTTTTTCCTAAAAAAGAAAAGAAAAGATGAAAACTAAATCATGGATCAACTAAGCCCTCTTGGGGGCTTTCTGAAGAATAAGGAGGAGTCTCGTGGAAATTACTATGGAATAAGGTTTAATCCTATTCATGGGGATTTCGTAATATCTCATTCCAAAAATAGAAAGTTCAAAACAATTGGGACTTTTTCAGAGATTAGGTGCGGTTACTAATTCATCTGGCATGTACAGAATGAAAAACTTCATTCTCGATTCTACAAGAACTTTTATAAAGCCTTTTATTTGCTTGTCTTCCATGGAAGTTTCATTTTCCCAAAATGTATCCTAGTTTTTGGCCTAATTCTTCATTTAATGATCAATTCAATATCTGATTAAAAATATAAACGTTGAGTACATAAAGGCCTAGACTTTGAAATTCACCAAATAGATGATCTAGATTCATTGTTGGAGGGTACTCATTTTGATCATATATAGGGTGCAAATCGAGTTTTACTTTTGTGGGGATTGATTATTGGGATAGAGAGAGGGTGTGTGCAGTTTTTGGGGTCATACAAATGCCACAAACATGGTTTTCTAGTAGTGTGGTTTATTATGTTATAATGACATCGTGACATGAAATCATCCTATATATATATATAATGTCACCTTTATTTGAAATAGAAACCTGTCTCTGGAGTATTCCTATATATATAATGTCACCTTTATTTGAAATAGAAACCTGTCTCTGGAGTATTCCTATCATTCACCCTTCTTGTTTAAGAGATATTATTTCTCTCTTAGGGCCAGTTTCAATGCAGTTTATTGGTGGTGCAACAATCTGCCCTATTGGTGATGGAGGCAAAATAGCATTTTTTAAGCTTTACTCCATCCCTGACAAGTGGTGTTTTCTATGTATGTGGGATCGATTTTTATAGTAATCAAGTCCACACCAAATACCAAATATAATCACTTGTGCATATAAATCCATGCATGAGTGAGTTATGATCCAAAGAGGACCTTATTTTACTTCATGTATTCTTTGTGAATAAGAATCAAACCTGTCTATTATCCATTATTTTCGTTATTTACAGGGAAGGTGGCTGGCAATCTGATATTTTGAAAATGTCCTTTCTTAGATATGTTTTTTGTCAATGGGATGTTTTGTAATAAGCATGGTCCAGATATTATTAATTATTTTTTAATCTCTTTCTAGTCTTAGATTCCCATCCATGAATTAATACTATTATTCTACTTATTTGTTTATTGATTTTTTAGCGAGACTGAAGATAACAATGTGAAAAGTTTGTTATTATTAGCAACTATGTGTTTGAAATATCCCATCTCCTGCAGTTTGTATGCTTTTGGTTTGCGACTTGTATCAGACAAGCATGACATTTATATTACGGACTATTGTTCTTTTCTTTTTCTTCGCAGACATTTCACAAATACTATTGGAAGCACAAAATCGCTGGCTTCGTCCCAGTGAAGTTTGTGAAATTCTTCGTAACTATCAAAAGTTCTACTTGACACCAGACCCACCATATAAGCCCCCAGGTATTTGCTTTGTTCTATGTCTTCCTGATATGGTGAAATGGCAATTTATGGTTTATTGTTTGTGTACAGCAAATAAGTGCATATGAGCTCCCTGGTATCTTCTTCTTTTTATGTCCGGCTGGTGTGGTCAAATGGAATTTATTGCTTTATTTTTTATGCGTAAAACTAATACGTAATATTGACCTACATCTTCCCCCCTCCCCCTGGTAACAAAATTTAGTACCCACAAGCAACTGCTAGTAATCACAAAGTCAGAATTCTCTCCAGTCTAGTCACTATCCTCCAGAAAATCAGATGGGCCAGTTATCTGTCACTTGGTGGCTTTCCAATGTCTATGGATGAACTAATTGAAATAATGTTGATTATCAAAAGGAAACGTATTGTATACGCAATTAGTATATAAAATTTTGCCATCTCTGGAAGCAATGGAGCAATCTTGGAAACCCCTTCTGTGAAGGACCTAATTTAATTTTATTGAGAGAGAGGAAGTGAACCTGCAAATTGTCGTCTATCTGTTCTCAGGTAAGGACAACCCAACAACTGATTCTACACGTCCTTTTGGACATGGAAACAACAAGTGACTGCCTCATTTCATCCCTAAAAGCTCCTGATTATTATGGCCAGTGAGTTGTTTCCTTTTGTACAGAAGTCATAGTTCTGGTTCTGGAGGCAAAATATGTGCCTCTTGCCTTTCTGCTAGGCATCGTGCTCTTCCACTGGAGATTTTGCAATTCATTATCGCCAACACGTGAAAAACCTTTACTCTTTACCGACCATGATGTTGTGTATTGCCTTCACTATAATCTCTAATTCCTTATGAAAATCCTCATATTTTATTCTTTCTATGTTCTCACATGGTGGTGGGTCACTTGCTTTGAAGTGTTGGTTCCTGCAACCCCTTCAGTCTTTGATTAACTTTGTGACATCCTAAGAAGAGTACTTGCCATATCCCATAAGGCCTTCATAGTTCTTCCAAGCAGGAAGTGTCCGAGGCATTCTTCACTTGTAAACATCTGGGGTTGGGCTTGGAAGTCAATGACTTTATGGTGCTTCATTTCAAACTTGATAACATGAGGCTGCAGTGTTGTACCTCTGTAATAGCTGAATGTTTTTTTACATGCTTATCAAATATGGCAAGAGATTGATACTAGGCAAAATATATTTAGCATTTTTCTAGCTCCATGTTCCATATTTTTTTGTTCTGGGTTTGAGATGAGTACGATGCATGTGCTTTGATATGCTTTGCCTTCTGAACAATGTCTGTCAGTTGATGACTGTAGACTCTGTGAGTTAAACTAGTACATGCCAAGTAGTGCCTAACAATAAATTTTAATGTCATTTGCATGTGTACGTGTTAAGTAATTTTATGGTGTGTATTTCATTCTTTTTTATAACTATCAGATCGAATCTAAGGGAAGCTTGCAAAATATGCATAAAAGCTCTTTCAACCATGCAAGTGAAAAGGATCACTTCTGAAATTACAGAAGTGTAAGTCTGACCTTCCTACTACACACGATGAATGTGCAACAGAAAAGGCCACTGCTCCTTTTTCAAATCATTCTTCTAATTTGAAATGGGCCAATAGAGATGCCTAGTTGATTCCAAGCAACTGATGTTTATTTTCTTGTTTTCTTGGGTAGAGAGGGAAAAATAAAAATAAAAAAGAGGAAAACTTCTGGCAGTTTTGTTATCCAGGGGTTAAAGCTTAAAGGAGAATCACTGCTGCCCCATTTCAATTAAAATCATGCTTTTGGAAAAAGAGCAATGGTGAAGGACAAATAGCTATTGGGCTCTTCCAATTTCCCACACTTCATGTACATAGTAGTGTTTGAAAAACTCATTTGAGTCGATTCAAAATCCACCTCGGCACCCTGCTGAGACGAGTATAATGTAAATAATCGAGTATATAAAAACTCTTAAAAAATTTTATATTTACCATATCAATAAGAAACATGTATACATATGTTTCTGTATAATTTTTATGTTTTTATGAAGGTTTAATGAATTTTTCTTATTGTATGCTCTATTTTTCTATTTTTCCCTTTTTTGAATTTTTCTGAATTTTTCATGTTGTAATTATTTCAATCTTTTGCAGATTCTTAATTCTGTTTTTAATTTTTTTTGCTGTTTGCTTATTCTTTAGCAAATTTTTGTGTTTTGTTTTGCAATTTTTGGGCCCTTTTTAGGCTCGTATATGGCTCGAGTTACTCACCTCGGGTGGATACTGAGCTCATAGACTGAGATTGGATTTTGATCCTTGGTACATGGTAGGTTAGACGAACTCTGGCACAAATTCAGTAGTTCAGCTTTTATGAATTTGTTTGTAAATTTCGCCAAACTAAAAGTATATAGCACAAATATCTACTTCTCTTTCTCTTCCCCTTCTATCTATCTAACATGCACATGCATGTGCACTCATGCATACACGCTCACAAAAACACATATGTATCTAAATGATAAGTAATTATCAAAGAATTGTTTTATGAACTTATTCTCCATGCTAGTGATGATCCAAGGAACATGTGGACCATTTTTTTCCTATACATAGTGTACATATTTGTAATTTTTTTTGCATTTCTGTTCTGCAGGTGGTTCCTTGTTTCTATTCGATCGGAAAACACTTCGTTATTTTCGTAAAGATGGCCATCGTTGGAGAAAGAAGAAAGATGGGAAGACAGTGAGGGAAGCCCATGAAAAATTGAAGGTCTTTTTTCTTAATGCATTCCCTCTCTATTATTTTAATTTCCCTCCCTTTGGTAGTCTCATTATTATAATTGGTGTTTTAGTGTATTTGACATAATGTGAAGTGCAAGTTCTTTTATGGTTTTTCGACTTCCACTAGTATGTGTTTTCAAGAGGCAATGCTTAATTCGAATGAGAAATATTAAGCCTATGGTACCAATTGTTAATTATTGACTTCTATCGTGGAAAAAGTGCTTTACAATCCAGAATACTCGGTGCTTTCAGATTAAGACATTTTGTAGTTCTTCATTTTGACATTCTTAATAGGTTTAATTTATTGAGATCTCTTAATTTGTGCGGATGCCTATTAGTCAACATGATTTTATCATTTAATTCCTTCTTTGCTTGTCCCCACGTTCCATTGATTCTTAAATTCCAGAAATAACATGATTTCTGATAGGCAGTTGGTTTTGCTGTATGCTTTATCATCATTGAATTGAAGTTAGTCCTATATTCTGCTTTGTTTAGTTGTATAATTTGGTATTTTGACCCTTAGCATGAAAATATATGATAGTTGGCTATGCATGTGTATGAATTGTTTTATCCATTCTTACATATATTCCTTTTTTGTAGGCTGGACGTGTTGATGTTCTCCATTGCTATTACGCGCATGGTGAGGACAATGAGAACTTGCAGAGAAGATGTTATTGGATGCTTGATGCGTGAGTATCAACTCTTTTTACATGCATTTTTTAGTTGCATCATGTGAATGTGCTTGTGTTAATGTGTGTTCTGTTTGTTTTTGTGCGTGTGTGGGTGTGGGTGTTTTTTTTTTTCTGGAGGTGGGGGGGGGGGGTGGGGAGGGTTCTTTGTGCACAAAGTGAGCAAATTAAAATTTGATACCTGCAGTTACATGATAAGAATGCATGATGTCTTTAGGATAGCTATATACTTTTACTGAAATAGCATTGCTCGCCCCTCTTATCTCATGGCATGAACCTTTAATAATGTTTGAGTGTTCCAATCTGAACCTCTGGGTGGTTTTCAGTCTTGTTAAATAGGTCTTTTAGATATTAAAGCTAGCAGTGATGGCAACTAAGGATACAGGTTGTGAATGGCGCTGCCTGTGGTTGAGTTTCTATCATATATTCTCTTACTTATTATTTATTACTTTCCTTCAAATGTATTTTACAAATTGTTGCCCCTTTTGTGGACATCTTACCATACTTTACTTCTTGCTGATTTTTCATTTTTTCTCAGATATTTTTTTGTCTCTCTACAGGAAATTAGAACACATTGTTCTTGTGCATTACCGAGAGGTGAAAGAGGTAATGTATTGTTTATCTTCTTCTTTTCTTGTAGTGCATTTCCATGCCTTTTTATCTATTTATCTTGAAGAGAACCCTATATTAACAGTTTTTTTATTTTTATTTTATTTTTTATTTAAGAAATTGTGCGTAGGTAGCAACCCTCATCCTGTTAGAAGTTTACCACTTTTAATGTTTTCTGCAATTTACTGCATTTTTTTTGTTGAGGTTCAAATGTGTTTGGCAATATGGTCTATAGATCATAGCTCATGCTATTTACTCCCGAATTGTTATCCACAGGGTAACAGGTGTGGCATTCCTCGTTTGTCAACTGCAGATAATGGAATAGTTGCTCAGAGCAGTTCACCTGCCTGCTCCACACAGGGTAACTCTGCAGCTGTCACAACTCAGATATCTTATGCATCGAGTCCAAGTACAGCTGATTGGAATGGAGAAACCCGTTCACCTGACTTTGATGATGCTGCTGAGTCTGGGGATGATGATGATGCCAGTGCCTCTCATCCGGGTTTTCAGTTTTCTTCTTTACAGGCATTTGATGGAACAAATGCAACAGAGAGTAGAAGCTTTTTGTCTGATCCCCAATCAAGAGCCTTGCCAAATATCATGGGGTTGGACAGGGGATCATGTGATCCTTATAATGTTGATCTATCCTTTTCTGGAAAATATATGCCCAATGAGCTGCATCACACTAACATTGGTGTTTCACAAGAGGCTAACAGTATTCCTAACATCTGCTTGTCATCTAGAATGGGGGAATCATTAAATTTATCTCTCCATAAAGGTTGTTTTCTGAATTATCTTGTTATTCATAATTTTATGCATCCCATGTAGCTGTTCTCTGTACAAGTTTTGTCTTCCCTTTCTCCATGGATGCAACTTGACTTGCTATATGGTTTTCCTTAGGTTGGTCACCACATAGCCATGATGCTAGTGCATTGTGGCCTGAAATTGATAGTTCAAACAAAATCACATCAGATGCATATGAGCAAAAGGTTACCCTCAGCCAAACTAATGATATTGAGGATTCCTCTGTGAAGCTGGCTGCTCCAGTTGTGGGTGGTAATGGTCCGATAAAAGATGGCCGAGGTGAGGTATATGGGATGTTTCCCGATGTGCATCTTGAAGCACTTGCCACAGGTGTGAAGCCAATTTCTCAGGTATTAGATTTGTGTTATGTGTATTGTTTTCTATCCATCTTACTCTGGATTTGGGATATCTACTGTTCCAACGAGATAAGACCTCCAAATCACTTGGTACGGGATAGAATCCTGTCGAGAGGAATGGATTTTCTTCCAGTGAAATTCCCTATGAATGCATTTGCTTCTGATAGAATCATGTAAACTTTGAGGATTTTGTTTCGCAAATTTTTAATATTTTCATTCCATTTTTTGGACTGAGCCTATTATAGTAGAATTTATATTTCACAAGCTATTGAAGAAAGCCTTTAAGGCTAAGCATTATTTTCTAATCGAAATTTGCAGGAGCAAGCAAATGAGGGGAATATTGGACCTGCAGATGGTTTTCTCGTGGACAATCAGACAACTACTGCTGCAAGGCTTGTAGGTCAGGATTCCAACAAGCACCATCCTCAACAAATGCCTATACGATTTCAGAATGATAGTGAGATGGGCACCTTTCCTCATGCAGGTGAGCAGCCCTTGAGGATGGATACTGAGGCTGATGGTATCCGCAATAATGCCCTGGTTAATAACTCATTTAATGATGAAGAAGGGCCTTTGAAGAAGCTTGACAGCTTTGGGCGATGGATGAGCAAGGAAATTGGTGGGGACTGTGATGACTCGTTGATGGCCTCAGACTCGGGTAATTACTGGAACACACTTGATAATCAGAATGGTGAGAAGGAAGTATCTAGTTTATCACACCATATGCAGTTGGATATCGATTCAATGAGTCCATCCCTTTCACAAGAACAATTGTTTAGTATTATTGATTTCTCACCAGAATGGGCTTATAGTGATGTGGAAACAAAGGTGAGCACGTCATTCCTTTCTTTTTTTTTCCTGCAAAAGCTGCTACTCATCCTGCTCAACAACTAAATTGTCGCTTTCTTATCCAAAGTCTGTTAGTTTCAAGAGGAAGTCCAATGAATTAAATTTTTATCCAGCTTTTGTAATGCTTGCTTTTTTTCTGAATGGAAGGATAGAATTTACTACTATACTTCATTTTTTGTTTATTAACAGTGCTTCCTACTTGAAGTCTATCTATTCGAATTATTGTTGAAATCAACATGAGCCCATTTCTGATCACCTGAGTCATGCTAATAGCTGCCTATATCAGGTTTTAATCTCTGGTACGTTTTTGGGGGACAGCAAGTGCCTCTCAAGTCGAAAGTGGTCTTGTATGTTTGGTGAAGTTGAGGTTTCAGCTGAAGTTTTAACATCTGGCGTTATCCGATGTCATGCTCCTCCACATGGCCCAGGGCGAGTTCCATTCTATATCACCTGTAGTGACAGGTTAGCCTGTAGTGAGGTTCGGGAATTTGAATATCGTCAACGACCATCTATGTTTACACTGCCACCAATGATGAGTAGTAACTCAGTAGATGAAACAAATCTTCAAATACGTTTTGCTAAGTTGTTGTACCTTGGATCAGAAAGGAAGTGGTTGGATTGCTCTGCAGAAAATTGTGAAAAGTGTGGCTTAAGGAAACACAAGTTTTTCCTGAGAAGTAATGACAAAACCGAATGGGATAACCTTGTGAATTCTTGTAAATCCTTTGGTAGAAATCATCAAAACTCTAGAGAGTTATTGGTGCAAAAGTTGCTCAAGGACAGATTGTCTGAGTGGCTTCTATGCAAAGCTCATGAAGATGGAAAGGGACCCAATGTTTTGGATGATGAAGGCCAAGGTGCTATCCATTTGGCAGCTGCCCTTGGTTATGAATGGGCCATGGATCCCATAGTTGCTACTGGCGTGAATCCCAATTTCAGAGATCTGCACGGCAGGACAGGACTTCACTGGGCTGCATACTATGGAAGGTGTGTTTTTGATGTTGTTTTGTACCTGAGAGCTATACATTATTTCCTCAAACAACTATCGGCAGTTCTTATTTTTTTCCTTATTTTTTGGCACTTGTAAACAGCTTGACATATCCTCGCCATTTCTTGTTAACATTGTCATCATATGTGGTGTTTAAATTGTAGTCTTTGGAGTGTTAGAAGTCATCCTTTTCTTGGACAGCAAAGTTCTCTTAATTAAAGGGCAAATTACATTCAAGTACAGTGCATATCAGTCTACAATTAACTCCAAGAAGCTGAATTCTGTGATCCTCCCTTTTCCATGACTCTTAGCCCCTAGTAGGGCTGCTAAATGGGTGGGTTGACCTGACCTAGGTCTAGGCCGGGACCCAAAGGGTACAACCTGCTGATGAGGTCCAACTCGACTGGACCCGATTCAGATGCATATATATTTATTACAAACACACGTGCATGTACACACACACATGCATCTGGGGTCTTGGTCTAGTCTCGACCCTGCCCATTTGCAGCCCTACTGCTAAGCATTCCTTTCATACTATTCAGTTACTATGCCTCTCTAACTATTTCCCCCCTTCTATCTCATCATCTGGCCAAGTTCCTTGTTTTGGTATATGGTTCTTATTGTTCTCCTTACATTCTTATTGGATGTTTGTCTTTGTCTTTCCTTGTGCTTGTTTAATCATGGGTATCAGCTCTGCCCTTGAACCACCATTCGCAAGAATAACGTTAGTACCAAGACCCTCTTCTCTTCATATCTAGGCCTCCCCCTTTGCACGAGCAGACCAAAGCTTACTTCCTGGGCTCGCTTCCTGGAAAGGTCGCTTCCTTTCCCCGGCTGGGAGAACAACTCTCATCAAAGCAACCCTCTTGTGTATCCCTAATGTCCCTTTTTAGGATGCCATCATCGATTTTCAATTGTCATAACCACTTGATGAAAAAGTTCCTTTGGGTAGGGGACAGTGAGAAGCGCAGATTCCACCTTTTGTATTGGGACAAAGTGTGTGCACCTCTTCACCTTGGAGTCCTTGGAATCCATAACCTCAAGCTCAATAATACTGCACGTTTGGGCAAATGATGGTGGTGCTATGCCACCCAATACAACCATCTATGGCAGTCGGTTCTGCAAATGAAATACCATCTTCAACCGTCTTCTTGGCTCCCCCCAAGCAGGCCCTACAGCAGGGCTTCAGGATTTTTGAGTACTCTGCAAAGTACCCTCAAGTCACTGAACTCTCGGGTTCTTGCTCGTGACAGCTGTCGAACTAAATTCTGGACCGACCTGTGGCTAGGATCCTCTTCCCTGAGTTATCTCTTCCCATCCCTCTTTCTCATGGTTAAGAGGCTGGAACTAGTGGCTGAAGTATTCCAAACCCTCGGGCAAAGACGTCTGTGGAGTCCCACTTTCAGGAGGTCTCTTCTGGAATCTGAAATTGAGGAATTCCTCAACCTATCAGCTCTACTAGACGCGTTCGTTCATTTCCTTGCGGGGCAACAATAGGCTCATTTGATGCCCTTCTCCATCGGGCTCGTCTCGGTTTCGTCTTTCTACTGCAAACTCACGCAACCACCCACCTTTCCTCGAAACCCTTTTTCCATATCAGCTCGGGCTTGGTTCTCCCTTGTGCCACTCAAAATTCAGTTCTTCACCTGGTTATCCCTTCACCAAAGAGCCCTTATTGTCGATCTCCTCCAGAGAAGAGGCCTCCCCATCCCCAACCGGTGCACGACATGCCTCGAGGTGGAGGATACAAATGTGCACCTCTTTATACACTGCCCATTCACCTATTCTCTTTGGGGTCACCTTCTTCATCATTTCCACTGGTATTGGGTGACTCTAAAATCAATACCTTTGGATGTTCTCCTCCCTTCATCCCTAACTCTTGGGCGGAGTCAGGTCGAAGGTTTCAATTTTTGCTCTCCTCTGGACTGTCTGGACCAAGCGAAACAACTGGATCTTCCAAGGTCAATACAAGCCTCCTGAAGTTCTCTTTGAAAAGATCAAGTCCCTTGTTTCTTTTTGGGCATCCAACCACAAAGTCTTCAAAGGTGTTCACCGGTTGGCATTCCAGCTCAATTGGCAGCTCCACTTCCACCTCTTGCAGGCCAGGGTTTCCCGGTCTTCCTATTGGTCTCCCCCTAGCTCGAGGACCATGAAGTTCAACTTAGATGGGTGTTCCCTGGGTAATCCCGGACATGCAGGCATCAGGGGTCTTTTCCGAAACGATGAGGGCTATACCTAGCCTCTTTCTCCAAATCCATCAGCCACTCCAACACCCAATCAGCGGAAGCTCTCGCCCTTCTTGATGGCCTTAGACTTTATGCCCACAGATGGCCTCTACCTCTCATTGCTGGGGGAGATTCACTCAATGTAATCCGCTGGGCTGCTGCAGTCACGCCCTTATCGGTGGACCCTAGCTCATATTTTCGAAGAAATCGCCCATCTTTTTTCGGGGATATCGATCTCATGGAGTCATGTTTGGAGTGAGAGTAATTCTCATGCGGACGCTCTTGCTAAAGGAGCCTGTTGTCCCTTGACTGAGTAGAATAGGACAGTCGCTTGTAGGACTTGCTGGCTCCTCTTAGGAGTTTAACCTTTTTTAGTGTTTGTCTGGGTTCCATTGGGAGTTATCCACCCTTGTTTGGTTGTTCCTGGCCCCTCGTTGGGGGCGGGGGGGGGGGGCTTTCTCTTGTAACGATGCGATTATAATAATACAATGTTAACATTCTCAAAGAAAAAAGAAAAGAATAATTTAGGACACTTCTCTATTGTTCTTCTAGATATAGGCATCCTTAGATAGGCTTCAGGCTTCTTGAAGTCCTGGAATTCATCTACAACAAGATCCTGGGTACTACTTTCCTTCTTCCATTGGATGCCTCAAATTTAAATGTTGGTTTGAGGGGTTGGTTGCAGGCTTTCAACGTCCTCACACCCTAATTGAGAGGTTTTCCCCACTTCAGCCATTTGTCTCCTTGCAACATTAAAATGGGTTTTTACAAAAGAAATACGTGGAAATGATCTGTTATGGTGTCCAATGCATTGATGCAATCTGCTGTTGAGATGAGACCATCTCTTCCAAATGCATGATCTCCTTGACCTGGAATTGATGTTTATTCGTTCTTAAGATAGTAAATAGTCATGCTTGTCTTTCTATTAGTTACTTTAGGACTAGGCAGTTAAGTTGTATTCTTTTCTGCAATTCATCTGCATGCTGTTTCAGTATTTATCTCTATGGTCACTTTCGTTATTTTTGCTTTGAACAGTGCTGTCATTCTGATGTCTTTCTAAATTCTTTTCTATGCAGAGAGGAAGCAATTGTTTCTCTTGTCAGCCTAGGTGCAGCTCCAGGTGCTGTGGAGGATCCTACTACGAAATTTCCTGCAGGGAAAACAGCAGCTGATCTAGCTTCAAGTCGAGGGCACAAAGGTATTGCTGGCTATTTAGCAGAAGCAGATTTAACAAGCCACCTTTCTTCATTGGGTTTGAAGGAGAACGCAATGGACACCATTTCTGCAACTATTGCTGCCGAGAAGGCTATGGAGACAGTGGAAGAGCAAAGTATTGTACCTCTTGATAGAGGGAGAGAGGATAGCCTATCCCTGAGAGGATCACTTGCTGCCGTTAGGAATGCGGCTCAAGCAGCACATCGAATTCAAGGTGCATTTAGGGTCTACTCCTTCCGGCATAGACAGCGACAGCAGAGGGAAATTAATGATGTAAAATTTGAAGTAACAGAAGAAGTAGCAGCCTTGATATCTGCAAACAGGGCTCAGAAGACAGGCCACTTCAGTGATTCCTTACATTCTGCTGCTCTTAAAATTCAGCGAAAATTTCGTGGTTGGAAAGGGAGAAAGGACTTCCTCATTATCCGTAACCGCATCGTGAAAATCCAGGTACTTCATTTGGATGTTTATTTTCTTTCTTTGCCTGGAATGACCTCTGATATGATTTTACATATGGTTCTGGATTCTCAGATGGAAAATTTTCTTGTAGCTTAAGTTGTATATCCAAGAGTTCTTCTCCTTAATCTATTCACAAGCGGTATAAGTCCTCTTTTGCACCACTAATTAGAGTGCTATATATCATCATGTCAAAAGAGCAAACGATTCAGTTTTGGAATTGCAAAAACTGTGTGAAAGAACAGTCCCAACACCTCAAAAATAACTGAATGTACTGAATATATTTGGTGTAAAACATAGGAGATAAAACTTGACCTCACTCGAGTCAATCTTACCTGGACACTCGCCAGTTTTCAAACAAAAGGTAAGCCTTGGCCGTGTCCTACTGAATATTAAGCTTTCAGGTTTCGTCCTGAGCAGATATTAAGTATTTAAAATTCAATCTGACATCACTCCAACACATTTTACACTGTGACCTGTGCTTATGTAAAAGGTTTTTGATAATTAATGTCCTACGTGGAGATTCAATTTGCCTCAGAACTATAGTTCCATATTTCATAGAGATCAGAAAAGACGCTTTCTTATTCATCCAGATTTGGAATTTGTATTCAATTGTAGTCTGTGTGACAAGGCTAGTATTCTCTTTGGCTCTTGGCAATGTCAACTGTAGTTCTCAAATTGATTTCAGCTCTTCGTCAAATTTCTAATTCCACTGATAATGGAAAACTTGCTACAATTATGGACAATGTCGTATCGCTAGATAGCGATGTAGATGTCTGTTATTAACATTGAGAGAATGTTATCCTCTGTTGGATAATTTCTTCTGTTTTTTTCCTTCTAACCTAGTGATTGTTGTGTTTGTAGGCACATGTAAGAGGATACCAAGTTCGTAAGCAATATAGAAAGGTCATATGGTCTGTTAGCATTGTTGAAAAAGCTATTCTGCGTTGGAGACGGAAAGGAGCTGGATTACGGGGATTCCGGGCTGAAGCAATAAAAAATGTGGAACCAGAAGCTGTGAAGACTGATGAATATGACTTTCTGCGTCTTGGTAGGAAACAGAAGGCAGCTGGTGTGGAGAAGGCTTTGGCAAGAGTTCAATCAATGGTTCGTTACCCAGAAGCACGTGATCAGTATATGCGACTCGTGACCAATTTTCAGAACACCAAGGTGATTTTCTTCTGAAGAACACCACCCATTTTTCTTGTGTTTTGTTCTGTTTGGATAGTGCGGTTGATACCTAAATGAACTATTGTCATGCATCCTTTTTTTTTTTTTACGGAGTCGATTTCTTATGGCCGTGTTGTATAACATACTCCTCACACATAAATACCTTAAATGAACTATCATGTTGCATTTAGAAATATCTTCAGGCTATAATTTCCCCAAAGTTGGAGCTATATTCATTGTGGGGTTTCCGCATTTCATATGAAATGCATCCTCAAGTTAATTTGCTACAGTTCAGGTCCTGAACTTTAGGTCCCAAGTCCCTGTTAGAGCAGATAGCCATAGAAGCAGAAACTTATAGTGATATATGCTACTGATCTTTCAGTTCACTTCATGGCCTTCCTTTCTTGAAATATGATCCTTTCAAGATGTTGTTTGTAGTCTTTTCTTGATGATGATTTTCATCGATACCCTTTAATATAAGTTTAGAAGTTTAACCCTGTAGTCGTTCCTGGTGGAAAAAAAAAATATATTGACTACTTGTTCTTTACCAAGAGATGGTTTAGTTATTGCTATTCTTTCCATTCATCTTGTTCGTTAGAATGCACTATTTGTTCTTTTAGTTGGTCAATTTATTGATGCAATGTTCAAAAACCCCGTTCAGGGACCCAAACCGGGTGCCTTTTAGGTCCAAGTCAGCTTGGCCGATTTGGCCAATACTAAAAAAAGAGTAAAAAGAACAAATGGCCAAAAAAAACATAAATCAAGGTCTCAAAATAAAATTTCATATTATAGGAGGTGTAACTCAAAATAAAAAGCAAGATATTTAAATCAAAATAACACCTTGGAAAGAAAATGGCGGAGATAAATGGCAAAAAATAACCAAATATTGATCTTTGAGTTTTTTGGTTTTGTTTAAAAAAAATTTATTGAGGGCTTTGGTTTTGACCATTTTGGGACAAATTTGAATGAAATTGCTCAATGAATATTTGATTTCTGGTTCAAAACCCCCAAAATTTGGAGTCTTGATTTGTTCTATACCTTGTTGATCCAACAAATTATTAAATGGTTTTTCTTGTAGGCTCAAGTACAAACATACTGAAACAAATTTCAGGGTTTGGGAGCTAAACGAGAGCCAAATATTGTATGATAGAACCTCACCGAGATCAAAATTTCTTCAACCTAACCTTGTTTCTACTCCAAAACCAATGGATTGATGGTCAAATGAGCAATTAGGAGGAGTAATTGTTGATGAGGATCAATACTTAATCCAAAAAGGTTCAGAAAAGCAAGCAAGTGCCTGTTTTTCTTTCTTTCTTCCTTTTTTTTTTTTCTCTTTTTCCCCCAACATCCGAGGCTGGGTGAGAATGGGCCTGAGCAATCCCCGGGGTCCGAGTCGATTCGGCTAGTTGCGATTAAGCTTGGTAATTTTCAAAACCTTGATAAAAATATGTTGGTTTGTTTCCCAATTGTGCTTGATATATTCAACAAGGAAGATGACACTCTTTCCAGACTAGTGTGTTCACCTTCCCAGGCCTCTAAAGAAGCCAATGTCCAAGATGCTAGGTCCAGTTCAGCCTAGAATCGATGACTGTTGGGGTTTGTGGCCTGTAAAGGCCTAGAGAGTTTGTAAATAAGATTATTTATAGTGTCTTGTGCACTTCAATGGGAGTGTATTGTGGCTAATTGAACTAGGGTTGGGTGGTCTATGGCTCGGGTCATGTCCAAAACCCTTATCTTTGGGCATGTGGCACTACCGTTGAGCATTTATACTGGATCATCCTTTGTTAAGGTCCGAGAGATGCCCAAAGACATTGTTTGTAAGCCAGGAGAGTTGTGGGGTGTCCTTTGTGCAGAAGAATAGCTTGTGAGAGCGAGGGTCAAATCCCCAATAAACCTTCGGCATGGCATGTACATATGACGACTGCATTTTGGGAAGCAACCTTATACAGAGGGACAAATGTACATGTACATAGTGAGAGTGCCTCTTGCAATATGTTTGCATTTGACTTGCTCTTAAGGGGGAACCGGTAATCCACATACTGGGACTGTGGTTCCACTATTAATTAGCTAACTCTGATGGGCCAACCATGCGCCCCTACCCTTGACTGTGGGTTATGGGTCTTGTTGGGATAATTTGAGAAGAAAGTAGTGGATCAATCCTGGCATGGGTGGAGTGCCCAATATTCGCTTGTTTCTTACCCATTAGTTACCTATCCACTTCTAAATTGTATTTTTGTGTTAGATTTTTGTGAAACTCCACGAATATTTTTTTCAACTAAAAAAGTGTTACTATGAATTTATGAATTTTTCTGAAATTTAAATATAAAGTTTAAATACGTAAAAACCCAAAAAAGCTATTTCTGAAATTTGAAAATCTCAAGGGAATTCTGGAAAATTTTATAACTTGTGTGAGATCCACATGGAGGGGCTATTTGGCCCAGCCCCATACGTGTGGTCCCCACTAGAGGGTATATCATGTGGAGCCCACTAGGGGCCACATCCCATTATGCCCACTTTGTTTTTGGCACATGATGTTTTATCATGTTAAGTTTTCTTATTATGGGTTTTAAAATATTTTCTTAGTGAAAATATTCTTTTTTGGTTAAAATTATTATTTAAAGATTATCTTAGTGATTTTCTTTTTATGTAGTTATCTTTGACCAAATTTAAATTGATTTCCTAATTCTCTTTGCGAGAGAATAGGATTTCTAGATTTTCCTCGATTGTTCTAGATAATTCTAGAGGATAAGTTCTAGATGGATTAGAAGTGGATGTGGGTCAAATCTCAAGGGATAAGGATCCTAGAGACTCAATCTATATGGCTGATCTTGGAGATGAATAATTCAAATTAAATATTCTCTCTCTCTCTCTCTGTCGTGGAGGCGAAGGCACACAGGGGATAGG